CGCTCTTCGGCTTATGTTAATTGCCGGCAATTAATTGCTGTAAGCTAATTTTGATTTCCTCCGCTTTTTGCCAGCGCAAACTAAGCCAAATTAATAAATTAGCATAATTAGCCGCGGGAATAACAATAAATTAACTGTAATTTCAACTCCGCCCCAAATGACTCGGGAAATTCATTGTCTTTTGTGGCTCACAAGCGCGGTGAGTGTCAACACGGCCCCCAAACAGATTAAAACAAAAGCTGGTAAACAGGCAAATAAATTAGCATAAATGCTAGAGTGCCAGTGCCAGCGAGTGAGACAGAAACAGTGCAGAGAAAGAGATAGCGATTGAGAGCTCCAAACAATAAGCAAGTAAACAAGTAAAGTGGAAAAAACGTCAGGTGTTATTGAAATGCAAACTAGAAACGACGAAAGCAAACAAAATCTATGAAAGTGCGCTACGTGAAAAAACAATAAATCCAGAAAAAATGTGCAATAAGAATTTACAGAAAGTACAACTTTTTTGGACGTTTTGTGTACTTATAAAATATAATTATAGGATTCCCTTAAATCAAAATTTCTTTTAAAGACTGAACATGATTCGTGGAATAGCCATTATCTAACAGTTCCCCATGTCCAGCCCCCTATTACAAATTGGACAAAGGAACCGATCCTAAAGTGCAGAAATAGTTCAGATTCCTTACAGCCGCAATGAGCTTCGGTTTTAATTAACTAATATTTAATATATACATATGTATGCATAAGAGCCCTACTAATTTTAAACGTATATGAATTTACTCTTGATAAGATGCTTTGCCTTGCAAAATGGGTCAAATATTCTACCCCTTGGCGACCAGATTGGAATATAGCCAATAAAGCTTATCACTGCCGTACACCTGAGCATTTTACTCATGTGCTCACTAAGCTATATATTTATACACTCACCCAACGCAAAAAATTAAATTATGAGTAAAAAACCAAGTACTTGGTGGTGTGCGTAGATAAAGAGACTTGTCTAGACGTGATAAACTATTTTTTCTATAGTTCATAACATACACGAGCACTTTTCATATGCATATATATATTTGATTTGAACGTGCGCGCAAGTGTGATATTGTTTTTGCAACTTGCTCACATATTTAATGCAGTTCGGGTGGATGGAAAATTATAAATGAAACATCTGGTTACTTATATATTATTTTTTAAATAAATGTAATTAAATATGGAAGAAACCCCCTTAATTATAGAATTTAATAGGTTTTATTCTTATCAGAAAATCACTTTATCAAATCAAAGTTCTTTCCTCTGAGATAACCAGATAACCTTAATTTTATAGGGCTACTTTACTTCCTCAAGAACGCAACAAAAGATATTTTTTGTTTTCCTAACCCACGATAATTCATATTTCAGTCTTCAAGTAAGTGTGCGTGTTTTTCTCGGTCAGAGTGGGTGGTGGTACGTGTTTTTCCAACCTCGGATACCTAAATAAAAAAAAATAAAAGCTGTCTGGCACTCGAAGCGACACTTTGTCTGCTGATAAAGTGCAACAACACGACTGGCAAAAGGCAAACAATCATGACAAAGTGTGGCAAATTAGTAGGTCTACATCTACACCAACGTCTGTGTAATACTATATATGTACATCCGTATGTACGCATTGTCTGCAAATTGTGCCTTTGTATTAATAGACCTATATGGTACAGTACTCTGTCTTCAAAAGATAAGAAACCCCTTCCCACAATGCAAATCGCAGAGTGTTGTGAAGACTGAGGAACGAAGAAATAGTTCAGTTAATATAAGATAAATGGGTTAATGAACTCACCAACACGATTCTAAAAATTCGCCGTTCTTTATAATTAGATACTTAATTATAGAAAATATTTTGTTGACATTTATAAACTTGTGCCAAAGATTTATGCGCAAAATACTTTTTAGCTAACTATAAAATTAGCTTTATATTAAGGAACTGTTAACCTGTTTTGTTTTAATCCAAAATTTCAACAAAATCACTTAGAACTCTCTTACTTCCGCTTTTTAAGCTTAGACAAATCAGGATTACTTGCTGGGAGGCGGGTCATCAAAGTGCACTTCTTAATTTGACTGAGTTTTTTTTTATTGAAATCAAACCGCGTCATTCGCTCAGTCACTCAATCAGTCAATTTTGCCACTCAACCAAAGACGAAAGCCTTTTTGGACTCCTGCCAGAGTGGGAATGGCGCACATCTGTTTATTTTGATATTGCTCTCATGCCACGGTGACTGACTGAGTGACTGGCACCAGCACAACCCACATACACAGCACACACCACCCAAAATAAACGCCCACCCACCCACTTTGCCACCCCCTTTAGCCCACTCCCTCCGCTCCCGCGAACTGTGTATTTTTATACAATTTATATTTTCATTGCGTAAATAAAATTCTTTGCCTGCCACAGATGGCTGATGGCCGCGGGCTGTTTACGTTCTTTGTCATTGAGTATCGGGGAATGATAATTGAAATTATTATTATACTTTGATTCCCCTGCAAATGCAGTGCCTGATTAAAGCGCAATCACAGAAAGAAATGTCATACTTTTTATAAAGCATATTTCAATTCGAAAGCGTTTCAATCCAATAAAGTTATTTAGCAAAGACAAATTTAAAATTTGATGAAAATATTATTAAATTCTTTCATTTCAAATAATTCACAAGTCAAAAAAAGAACAAATTTTTATTAATTTCCTGATAATTTGAGAAAACGAAAACTTTTTTAACCCATTGTTCTTCTTCTAATAAATTATTCCTTCACTTTATTTTATTTTGCTCAGTAATTGAATTAATTTCAAGTCGCAATTACTCGACATTTGCATCAATTCAATTTTGCTGATTAGCTGACCCAGTTTGACAATCATGTTCGCAATGAAAATAAAATACCAAAGCCGCCAGCTTTAGTGTTATCTATTTTATAGCTCTGGCTGGGTCCACATCTAAGCATATGAGAAATATAACAAAGAGAGTGGAGAAATACACCATTTTCCATGCCTGCTTATCAAAGTCTTATCGAAAGTTTCGCAAAAATTCCATCGTTTTTTCCGTATTAAAAAGTTAGCAACTAATTTTGGTTACCATGTTGTTAATTTACTATTAACCAATCTGACAGCGCTGCGTATATTCTTTGTTATCAACATTTTAACAAGCATAATTTTGGTTACCATGTTGTTAATTTACTTTTTTATTAACCAATCTGACAGCGCTTGCTGATTGTTATATTTATCCCCTAACATCCATCATATTCTTTTAGTTATCAACATTTTATTTACTCAACAAGAATTTCAGACCAAGAACTATTTGATCGCTTCTTCATTTTTTTTACCCGTTACTGGTAAACAGTAATAACGGATATGTTTTAATACAATTTTTAGAACATTTTTAAACTTGAAAAATAACTTTGAAAAATCGGAAAAGTAATCGTTCACGAACTGAAAATAATACTATACTAAAAAAATTTTTGGTTTTTGATATCAGTTGACCTCTGGACTTCCATCGTGGTCACCGCAAGACTAAAAAAAAGGTTCGGAAAGAATTGCCATAACTTCGTAAATTATTCATACTTTTTCAAGAACAAAGGCTTGTTGTTTCGATAAGAACAGTCTGTCGCTATCAATTTCCCTAAATTTTTCGAAAAGTATATAACCCCTAAGAGTAAGCGTTAGTTGTGTTTTTAAAGTTGGTTAACTGAGTAACGGGTATCTAATAGTCGAGGCATTCGACTATTGCGTTATCTTTTGTTCAAATTGCAAATGATGCACATGCAAATATGGATATGATTTCGCTGTCGAGAAAAATACTCTTGCAGCATCCACATTTTTACGTGCGGTTTTAGGTTTTCCTGTCCGGACAAAAGTTAATTATGCTCTTACGGAAAATATTCTCCTACGCAAATGCAAAATCATATATCACATTTCATTGTAGGTAATTAAAAAATAATTTTGGTTGCCCAGGCACAAACATATTTCATTTCATATGCGTTAATTAATACCTCAGTATGACAGACACAAAATGTAATTTTTCACCTTACCTCTTTTGCCAATGCTTGAATTTAATTTCTTGAAATACAATATGCTGCCAAGCCAATTGCAGATGCACTAATTACAAACTATTTAGGAAATAATAGAATCTATCCTGCAGATACTGAGCTAATGTCCAACAACATGTTGTGACCACATTTGTGTTTACTTCATGTCAAATGCGTAAACAGGCATATAAAATGAAGTGCTTTTTGCAAGTTATGGGTTATAAAAGCCAAGAGAGCGGCAGTGAAAAAAATATGCGAACTGCCTAATCAGCAGAAAAAAAAACACGTTGAATCAGTATAAAAAAAATATGCTCGAAAAGAAAATTTTGATTTAACAAAAAAACGTTAATTGGCATGAAGTAAATTAATTTTTAAATGGATTTTTACTGCGTTTTCTATATAAATTTGTATAACTTTTAAAATTTAAAAAATATTAAATAAATATATATGGTTCCTGAGAGATTAGAGTGGGTATAAAAACAAAAAAGTGGCTGACTCTGACTGTTTCCCAATGGAAAGACAGAGTGGCATGGACCTTACTTACATCTTGAGAGATTTGTCCCATATCCGCGTAGTAATCAACAGCGTAGTACATGAGTCTGCTGGAGAGTACGGGTCCAAGTTGGATGTGGATGTGAAATCGGATTCGGAGGTCGCCGTCAGTCGTTGCAGCTCCGATCGCAGTAAGAGAATAACCAGTTTTCGCCTGGCTCTTTGTTTATGGAGCCACGAAAGTGGAGCAGCCGCCAAACTGGAAATGCACCAAAGGAGGAGGCTCGTCCGCGGATCGCTGGTTTAAAAGTCCAAACCAGATTTTCTTTTCTCGGCGGTTCAGGGTCTCCCTGTGCAACGAATACAGCTGCTTTTGGTTTCGATTTTGTCAGGGCAATTAAAGTGGATTTTTGGGCGAAAATCAGCTATGGCTTTTCTTCTATATCTTCCCAATATCCTATTTCCAATATCAAATATCAGCCGAGTATCCGAGGTCGCGGATTGTGATTCAAGCACTTGTACGTATGGCTGTGTATCCTCAGTACGTTCTTCTCATCAATAATGGCGATTCCTTGACTGGAGTGACTAAAGCATTGACACTTGGTGCTGTTGATGTTGATCTGGTTTTTGGTTTTCATTTGTCGATTTGAGTTTGGCGACCTTTCCACTCTGCACTTGGCAATTTTTCCGCTTAACTCTCAGTTGGATTTAACTTTGGTAGCTGCGGAAGAGAAAGAGAGAAATGGTCGTTAGCCAATGATCTTTATTAATTACCATATCACAGCTCTATGGCATCGCTTCCCACAGCAACAACTCGTTTCTAGCTCTCCGTCGACTTCAATTAGCATTCAAATGCCAGTCAAAATATTCACTTTTTGTCGCTTTCTTTTTTTTTTTGGTTTTATTTTGAGTTTATTTTTTTTGTGGATTTTCTGTGCTGTGTATTTACCAAGCCTCCACAGACAGCGTAAAATCGCGCAATGCCAAAAATAAAAAGCAAACAAAACGCAAACAAAGCAAAAAAATTTGGTAAACAAACTCGGAACTGGGAATGGCCGAAACGAGTTTGCTCCTCTTCCTGGGGCAAGGTGAGAGTCAAGAAAAAAAGTCAAAAAAACAAAAAGATAATAACAATAATGGAGCGACGTGGTAAATGAGAAACCGAAATTAATATCAACTGCAAATAGCGCACTTTTTGGCAGGCAGACGCAAAGTGACAAACAAATAGCCAACGGCAAGCCAAACAAAAAAGGAGAAGCGACGGGGAAACAACAAAGAAACATATCCAACAATGGGTACAACAAGCCGAAACAAGGCATTCAGGGTAGTAAAATAAACAAATGGTGGATTGGGTTGGCAAAACAGATGATAGAGTTACAGGCCTGGATAATCTCCTGCGGTTTTTGGCCCCGCATCGAGGCAATCGAGGCATCGTCATCAAAGCGAATTACACAAACGTGACTCTGACATTGTAGGCGGCTGCACTGGAATAACAAAATAACAAACAAATCGGAAAGCAAATTAACAAAGGCTGCTTTTGTAACCCAAGCTAGTTGGCGCGCACTCGAATAACATAAACAACGTTACAAAGTTTCCTATTAATAATTTTTTATTATCGACAACGTCATGAGCATACTAAACGCTCCACCGATTCCCCATTCCCTATTCCCCATCACAATTCCAGTCCCTCAAAAGTCAAACGAATCGGCTTCGAACAGCTGGCAACTGAGACAAAGTGTCGGATTTTCACTGGTTTGTCCAACTAATTAGCGAAAATATTGAACCAAACTTCGGCCTAGTCCAGTCTATTCCAGCGCACTCCAGACATTCGGTGCACAGAGAGAAAATACTATCTATAACTGATCAAGAAACTCGTATATTCTCGGAGATTTTTTTTTAAAACTTCTCTTTGTTTAAAATTAAATACTTTTTAATATTATTTAATACCTATTATTTCTCTGTAGACCAATTGAAAATATTTTGAATCCATTTCTCTCACTGTACCGTCCAAGCTTCAACTCAGTCTAGTCTTGAGTGTCTTGTTTACCGTCGGCTCAGTATGGACATATTTAATTTATCCACTCACACCACTCGCATCGTGAATTATACTATGGATGCTGTAAACGAACTCTGCCGCGCGGTGACATTGAACGGCGTCCACGATACTGCATATACTATACGACGACCGGGGCGTTGACGATGTGCCGCCATGCGTATGAGCGTTATTATCACGCATACGCATGGTAAACATGGTAAACAGCTTTTTTCTCCCCCTTTGTGGGCGCAACGTGGGCGTGGCTGACCGAAAATCACTCGTTGCTTTCGCGTTAATAATTAAATTTACCTTGTACTCTCTACGAAGGCTTAAGGATTCTGATTGAATTAACAAAATAACACAAATATGGGTATGTGTATTTGCAAAAAAATTATTGTCTTTTTTTTTGATTTTACAATAAATATTTTTAATTGGCAAAGAATAGTAGCAAACGGGGCTTGCAATGAATGTTGGTCTGCATAACTCTTACTCTGCATAACTTTACTCCGCATAACTCATACTGCTCCTCATTACTTTAATTAAATATTTGACTCTACCCTTTGCAAACCTTTTCAACTATTTACAGCTGGATATCAAAATGCATTCAGAAGTCATGGCGGGCCTTTGTGACTTTGACTTTCAGCCAGACTCTGGCTTTTTGTTGTCCAGCCATATCACAGTCACACCTCGCCTTTGTCCGATGCATTTTAAAACGAAGTTATAAAAAAAAACAGAATTTCATGGACAAAGAGAAAAATCTGCCACCTACTTCTGATTACAATTGAAAAGTTTAATGTTTTGCAAAGGCTTTAATCATGTATAGTAATCTACAGGCAACAAAAAAGTATGGAGTTTTCAGAATATTTCATTAATATTTCACACAGACACAAAATCTAAAATATCTAATACACAAAAATATATTTTAACCTGGAATTCAGGTGAACCTGTTATCAAAATAAGATTATCCTTGAATTTAAAACACCTCTATAGTTAAAATCCGATTAATTTCTGCTTTCCCTCGTTTATTACTTAAAATATAGCTGTGCTCTAAAACTCATCTTTTGTTTATTTTCTTTAACATTTCTTTGGTAGCTGCTGTAAAATTTGAAGTGTTTGCTTCTCCCGCCTCCTTGGTGACCGCAATTCGCAATCAGCATGTGTAACCGGGACTGCTGCGAGGCCAGGTCTCCGATTGCCAAGCGAATGGCGGCCCGGCGGCTCTTGCAACTGGAGGAGGAGGAGCGCCGGAAGCCCAAGCTGGTAATCCCGACGCCACAGAGCCTTTTCTATCCCTTCGAGGAAGTCGAGGCCATGGCCAACTACATCATCGACGTCAGTCACATCCGTCCGAAGTACGGCTTGATTTGCGGTAGCTTCTTGGGCTTGTTAATCTCCCTGGTGGAGGAGCCCGTGGTCATTCCCTACGAGGACATCCCCAACTTCCCAGCCGGCCTGGAACCGGACTGCAACTTTGTGGTGGGCACTGTGATGGGTGCCCCCATCATGGCGATTGCCAATCGGTTCCACGTCTGCGATGGCTACAATCTGGCCACCTGTTCGCTGCCCGTTCGCGTGATGCAGTTGTGCGGGGTCAAGACCATCATGCTGACCTCCGAGGCAGCCGCTGTCAATGTGGACTTCGCCCTGGGCGACATAATGCTGATCGCCGACCACATCAACATAGTGGGCATGATGCACCAGACATCGCTGGAGGGTCCCAGTGATCCGCGCTTCGGCAGCCGATTCTTCTCGATGGTCAATGCCTACGATAAGGGTCTGTTGGCAAAGGCCCTCGAGATTGGCAAGCGGATGGGCATCCATCAGTTCCTGCACCAAGGGGTTTTCGCCTGCCTGGGAGGTCCTGTGCTCGAGACCCTGGCCGAGGAACGAATGCTGCGGACGATGCAAGTGGAGGCAGTGGGATTGTCCCTGGTGCCCGAGGTCATAGCCGCCCATCATGGTGGGCTGAAAGTTCTCGCCTTTGTGATTATCAGTTCGGTGGCAAACGAAAGGGAAAGCGAGGAAAAGGAAAAGCAAAATGACAGGGATATGGAGGGCAGAGTGGAAAAGGACGAGGCACCCGAATCCTTGGAGGTATCACCGCTAAGGCTGCAGGCCTGTTCCGATTTGATCGGTCGAATGCTCTACTCTATGCACCATGAGCTCTGACGTTCGAAAATAGATTTCTTGAAGCCCCCGCCTGATTTGTTGTATTTTTTGTGTGGTGTTGCCAACGCGGAAATAGCGACAGGTGCAGCTGTTGCCGCAAATTTCACAGGGAAGAGTTGTCGCGAGGGGGAGGTGTAAAATGCGAGATTTTAGATAGGAAATGTGAGGTGCGAGTGTGCCTGGTGTCAGCCTGTCTAACGGTCGCCCCAAATGGCTGGCAATAAAAAGCTCAGAGTGCTCGTATCGGAGCACACTGACCGTATACGTAATGCGCCCGCTTTGGTGCCCGAAATGTACAGTGTACAGTGGCCATCTGTAAAATACATTTTATGGCAATTAGCTAGAAATGAAACCCGAACTACTTTGTTGCTTTGGGCCAACACGTTTGTTTGAGACAGCGAAGGAGATACGAAAAGTGTGTAAATTCTTTTATTTAATTAAAAGGTATTTATTTATTACGAATAAAAAATTGGATAATAATTTAGGTAAGTAACCTGAACACACAGAAATACCTGCTGGTCTATTTCTCTTTTAATTAATACCTTTAATTGGTAATTTAGAAGGTAATCTTTTTAGTATTTATTCACAATGGTTATTTTCATAATCTGTCAAATCAACTTATCGCCAATTAATTCACAAATAAATACCACAAAAGTGGTAAAATGTTTCGCTCTTTTATTTGGCCAATGCCTTTTGTCAACCATTTGGTTATTTCATTTATCCGTAATGCTCCCTCCAACCAACTTGCCAACGCTTAGCCCTATTCTGTAATGACAATTACAAACTTGCGCACCGACTTCTTCTTTGTTCGTCATTGTTGCTAATTTTATTATTTGCCATTGTGGCGAGGCGATGCGATGCGATGACGAGCAACGTTTGTGCTCGCTTATTGACGCTGATTGTTCAGATATAAGTGCATATATATATGGTAGGGGGAGGGGACGAATATATAGAGATAGCCACGAGCTGTTTGCCTTGCGATTTGTGTGTTACGTTTGCTCGTTGTGCGCTGCTGTTTTCTGTTTTCAGCTGTGCGATCATGCGGCTAGAAAGCGAGATTTTCCCCGGCTTGCACCGATTTCCCCCGATTTCGTCCGATTTCCCCCGATTCAGATTCGGCTTGTGGCATTACGCTAATGAGTTTGTTGCGGCCAGTTCGTTGACCCCACGGGCTGTGCTTATTTTCAATAAGCGTTGGAAAATTGAATGCAATTTGCCACCAGTTCTGACTGCGTTATATCTGTATCGCTCTATATGTACATTGTACGTATAGAATGCGGTTCTGTGGGCCAGTTCAGTGCACTGGCATTACAATTTAATTTTAAATATCAAAAGCATTTGGGGCATTTGTGCGTGAATATCGGCGTGCCAACAATTGCGCTGCCTGCTGATTCACCGATGCATATCTGCATCTCAGCGATACAAAGATGCCGAGATACGTAGGTACATAGATGCAGTGCATAGTTCTGGCATTTCAATTGACGCTGGGTGCAACATCTGGCCGTTATTTTGACAATTTAATCGTCAACAAGTATCTGACGCAATTTAAATGGCAAGCAGATGCCGACCATTCTGCGAGAAGTGCTCAATGCTCAATGCTCAATCAACTGACACCGCAAACAAATGCTAATTATAATGCCAAGAGGTGTCAGTAATCTCTACAAAATCCATCTGGGATTGTTGAAAGATATTTTCCCTTAAAATAATTTATTAAAATAGTTTAATATCAATTTATAAATATTTTAGACCAGACAAACCGTCATTTCATTTGCGTCTCATTTGATTCAATTATTTTCATGACAAATAAATCAATCACCAATTATTCCGCAAAAATAGGAATTCTATTTTCGCACACAAAATTACATTTACTATAAAATTATTATTCAATTGTAATGCGAATTGATAACTCCTGCATTTGTTACACAATTTTTGCTTGTTGCTAGGTCACTTCTGCATACGGCTTCTAATCATCTGCCACCATAAACAATATTTAAAGATTAGATTTTTTCATATATTAACTTGACTTAAGTCGATCCAATCAATTTTTATTAAGTCTGCTGATATAAACTGGGGGTTGTTTGTGCTGTTTGGGAAATCCAGGTATTGTCAGCAAACGAAGTGATTATTAAGAAACCCTGAGTAACAAACTTCGAAACCCCTTACATTAAATGTAAAAAATTAAAAACGAAGCAAAGAGGAAATCCGTAAGATGTGGAACCAACTAATATGCCCTTAGTTCGGAAGCGTAGGAAAAATGGCATGGAAGTTACTCAGTTTGTGTGTGACTACTTGTAATAAGGAAAAGTAGAAAATTGCACAAAATAAACGGCAGTCCGAGTAAGCCAGACTGTGTTGCAGTTGCCAGTGTTGCTGTTGCACTTGTTGTTGCTGCTGTTTGCCGTTGAGAGTTCAGTAACCTCGCATTGCGCCCATAGAAGTGACGATAATTTTAGCAGCAGTCGTATTGTAAGTAGTGCACATAAAACAGATAATAGTATTGTTACAATAATTATATCTTTTTATGTAAATACAAATTTCATGTCATTCGAATTAATTAATGTAACAAATATATAAATTACTTAATAAAATAAAATAATTTGTATGGTTTTATATCTGTAGATAATTGTATTTTTATTTTTAAATGTTCTTTAATAATGTGTTCCTTTAAATAACTAATGTGAAAAGCATATTGAATAAATAATGCGAGTGGTCACAGGTAATTGCAAAGCTCTTTCCTTTTGTTCCCAAACCAAAAGGACCTTTTCAGGCGATTTGGCAAACCGTTTCAGTTGTTTTTGCCGCTCGAAAGCCGCTTAAAATTGATTGCAACATTGAAGGGGAGCACATATCAATTGGCCTCTCTATCGGGGGTTCAAGTGATTTCCCATCACACACTCACATGCTCACATACTAACGCTGCCAGCAATCTTAATGCGCCTGACAACAGCGAAACAAACAACAGCAACAGCGGCGAGCCGCGAGCAACAGTTGTTCGAGTGCACTGTGTGCGTGAGTATCTGTGTGCCGCGCGGTCGTGTGTGTAGGAGTATCTGTGTGCGAGTCGCAACGACATAGCAACCATTTATCATAATTGCCATTAACTGTCGGCCATTCCTCAATTCTTTTCGGCCCGTAGCATTGCGTATTCGCCGGGATGGCACAAAAAAAAGTGTAATTCACTTCCGAGCAGGGGTTTTATTTTTAAAGGCTTAGCACATTCTTCTTTTCCCTTGTTTTTGCATTTTACATTTCGCATTCATGTCGCTGTAATTAATTGATTCATCAGTGGCTATTGTGTAACTGTAACAATGGGCGTTGAAGACAGCAAAAAACAAGGTTCTGAACGTTTCATTTAAAACTCACTAACCAGCCACGGGTAAAAGTTAAAAAAGATGCTTAATAAGTCGAGTGATTGCCCAGATATGTGGGTCTTAAGGCCCGATAAGAGGAAGATGCTCGGCCAAGAACAACAAGAGCATGATGAAATAGCCGCGACAGGCGAGTAATGAAAACGGCAAACAAGCGGAGGCAACAAAGTGAATAAATGCCTTCAGCAATTCACCAAAAACTGCTGTGTGAAGCACCGCAGTGGGTCGAAAAGAGATGGAGAACCGCTCACCGAACGAACGGAGCTGCCCAATTTAGATTCCCGTGCGGTAGGTCAAGTGCCAATTTCCACAGCTCGAATTTGTGTGGCAAAGGCAAATCAAATGCTGTAAAATTGAATCAGAAGCACTCGACCCTCAGTCTGCTTTCCATTTGATTCCATTTCCTTAGTTCTCAGCCGAGCCGAATTGTGTGTTTCGCCCTGAAACCTGTTGCTGGCATGACAGCCTGTCAATCAGAAAAGTCCCTGGCCACAGCCAAAAAAAAAGAAATGGTAAGAGGAATTGGCCAACTGCAGACAGCACATATGGATTCTACCTCAGCTTTGCGGGGATTTCCATGGTAGGTACTGCGAAATATTGCTAGAAAATTGAAGCAGCATCGAAAGTTAGGCTGCGAACCAAACCCACAATTCTACACAGGAAGAAGCTAGTTCCTCTTTAAGTGTGAAAATCGCTCTGAAATCTCTAGCGGTTTGAAATCTTGGCACAAGGAAAGTCTTACGGATAAATTCAAGAAAATTCCGAAAGACGATTTTTATTCGAAAATATAGTTACAATTTTGTGTTAGAGCAACGACAGGTAAATTAATAAATGGAACATTTTCGTTCTGTGCTATCGCCTTTTCGCAAACATTTCTGGTTCTGGTCAAGGCCTAATGGAACCGCACGTGTTGTCCTGAAAGCCTCTTACCGGAATCTTTGTCCTTAAAAGGACTTTTTTCATGTACAGGCTCGGGAAGGGATTAGAAAACTTTTGAAAAATGCATTCCCATTAGGAATATATAGAGGAATGCACAAGATACTTCATTGGGTTCGAATCAAAGACTTACCCTTTGCTCTCCGGAATAAAACTCTCTTCATTTGCTTGACAGCTCTAATTGTAATCTCTTTAATTGCGGTTCATTTGTTCAGGAGACTTAGTGCACAACACCGTTACTTTTCTTTTTTTGTTAGTCTTTCAAATCGTCGCTTTGGCGAGTTCTTTCATTCTACGCTCTCTCCTCTCCTCAGACAACACATAAAATGCAGCCACTAATTCTGGTTCCGAACATAGGAAGCAAAAATACTGTAGATGAAATATTGTTTTGATCAAAATAACGCTTTCGCAACGAAAAACCACACGAAATAAGTAGTCGGGCGAGTGTGAGAAGACATGCGTTTTTCGCCCGATTTCATAAATATAATTCTTGATTTACGCTCTCGCCTGCTCATTAATAATATGGTGTCCATCCCCATTACGATTACCCCAAAAAACCTAAAGAAAAAAACTGAGCTTGCATTTGGCGCGAAAAAATAGACAACAGCAAGCACACAGATAACAATAATAGTTTATATTTAAATTTGAACCGCAGCGGCAGCAACAACAATGGCCAGCATCGTTTAATTTGTTTACGCGGCTCGGGTTCGTTGTTATTCGTCTATGAGGCCAATCTAATTTATGCTCTTGCCTTGTTGTTGTTTCACTTTTGGTTTTGATTTTTTAGTGTTTGTGTTTTTTTTTGCCTCTTTGGCAGTTGCTTTTGCAAGAAATTTCTGTAGTAATTTTCCATGCAATAACAATGATTTTCGGTTTTTGTTCAGTTTTTATTTTTATTTTAGGCGCTATCTTTATCTTTGCCGCCTGCATTTATTTTTTCCCCGTGTTAGCACGAGACGATGAAAATTACCAGAACGGACGCATAAATAAAAACGAACAAATGAAGGAAATAAAAACTAAAAACGGTTATCCGAAATTTTTCGGAGTTTCCTATTTTCCCGCGATCTTCCGCTGCGAGTGGGAGGAGGTATCGGCCGTTATTATCGGGTTTTCTGTCCGCTGCTCGGTGCGCGCTAGCTAGCCGGACAACTGAACGCGGCCAGCGAAAAACTTCAACTGAATCCGAACCGAAACGAGCGGAGCAACCGAAATACGCTGCCCATACAGCTGATATCGCAGCCCCAATGCAACAACAACAGCTGACGACGGCGGAGAGCCGAAGAGCACTCGGCACACTGGGGGAAACTTTGGGTGTGTTCTAAAGAAAGAAATAAATTGTTGAGTTAATAAATTTTGAAATTAATAAATCTAATTGGTTTAAAAAACACGATAAGTATGCTATAAAATATTTTTAGTAGGGAAGCCTATTCCTTATTCGATGTTCAAAGCATACTTTCAGATACCTTTATCGGTGATTATTTATTCTAAAATATATTTGGATTGACTACTTGTCTTTGTTTCTTCACAAAATTATTGATTGATTTTAAATTTTATCAAAATTTATATTTGACTTAATCTTTTTTTTAAAAAAAAAAAAAAGGTATAAAAAAATTTTTTTTGAGTTTTTTCTAGGGTAATTTTTAGGGAATTGTCTTGATTTAAGTTTGGTTTTCTCGTTTTCCTCTGTGTAAGCTTATTACGAGCAACAGAGCGAAAGGGAGAGAGTGCTGGAGACCCAGTGTGTGGGACAGAGGAAGCATGCATAGCAGCAACAGGCAAAAGCAGTTAATTGGGCTGGCGGGGGCGGGACGGTGGGAGTGGCGCAGTAGGCGCATGAGAGACGTTCGCTTTGACTCTTTGTTGCTGCTGATTTGCTGCATCTATTTTGTTGCCGTTGTCAAGGGTTACATTGCATGCCAAGTGCGCTACAAAAAAATATGATCAAGATGCGTTACGCTATAAAAAATAGAAATATTGCATTTAACTTAATTATGGGCTAAAAATTAAATTTTAAAATTGTACAAGACTTAAAGTTATTAATAAAATTTTTTTTTATTTCAACTCATCCAAAATTTGTTGTCTTTTTTAAGTACATTTAAGTTTGGAAAAACTCAAAAAAATCTAAAATCATTTATAAAGGTGTCCAAAAGTAGGCAACGAAATACTTTTTGCGATTTTATTTTTCACTGCATATTCTTAGACCCCCATAATTTATTGCCATGACAACGTAAACTGTTCCACAGAATTTGGTATTTTATCAACTTGATCTCCTCAGTTAGTTTCAGCATTATTACTTCCCAAAAAATGAGTAGTATTATTATGCTTATCTTTTTGTCCCCGCTACAGAGTATCCTGAGTTCATATAGACTGAATCAAAATATACAGTTGTTTTCTGTGTTTGCCCTTTCTTCTTTTGATTTTTATTTTTTGTCCAACATATGTGGAAAGCACTGGCACAGGCAACAGCAACAGGCACCAACAGCAGCAACAATAACAACCATTGACAACGAAGCGACAAATGCGACGCTTCAAATGATTGAACTCTTAAATGGCTGAGGCCTATAAAAACTGGGTGTGAGTGTGTGCGTCGCAGTGCCTTTGGATGCAAATGTGTACTTTGTTATCAACACTTCTTTCTTGTGCGCCCTCCTATCCCGCCCCCTCCCCCCTCGCCCCTTTATGCAGCGTTGGGCCCATCGAAATAGTCAACATTGGCGGGCTCTCAAAGCAAACAGTTTACAGTCAAGACCCGGTAACGCAAACTAGAATAGTTCGGCGTAAGAATATTTAGATCGGGGGAAAAGTAAAATGAAGTGTGGTATTCAAAAAGTTAAAAATGATTAACAATTTTACCGATAATCGAATCATAATTCACATTAAGCGTTTTAAAAGCTAAATATTACGAACCAAAAAGTATAATTGTATAAATTTAAAAATATGCACCTGTAATAAAACCTTTAAAGATTTCTCTGGTATAATATGCAACCTCGATAACATTAAGGAACATTTTATAAAGACAAATAGTTTGATTCAAACTATAATTTACCGAATATTTACTGTACTTGAAGCTCGGCAGAAAGATTTCATAGAGACATGGCCCTGGCTTTGTTTACTCTATGAAGACATTTTCCGGCTCTAGACTCTCCGTATCTGCATCGCCCCCCTTTCTTTCTCTGAAAGTATCCAGCGAATTGCAATAAGTGGCGGCGATAAATAAAGTGCCCGTCCCCATTTTTATTTTATAGCTAAATCGTGAGACAATAAAATGCTAAGGCAATGAATGCGATGGGAAGTGAAATTAATAAGCACTCGAGTGCAAAGTACTGTTCGCCACTATTATAGGCCGAATGCTGGGGATTTGCATTAAAGTAGGGGGGGAAATGCTTATCAGTAATGGGAGCAACAGCAGCAGCGAGCTGATAACAGGGCCGATACCGAAATACTTGCGATGTCGACGTGTGCGTGCCTGTAGATTATTATTATTATTGATTAATAAACAATTTTCTCACTCACACAGAAAATAGCTAATAGCTAAAAGCTAGAGGCTGTAGATATGTACGGTATGTTTATGAGTACATATGTATGTATGTGTAAAGGCGACGCGACCGATAAGGAATGACCGATTTAGTTCTATAGTTCATATAGCGATAGCTAACATCAGACTCGATTGACCCACAAAGATGGGGCGACAAACACCAAAGGCATTCTTATGTTCACACTTATTATTGTACTAGGGTCTAAGAAAATACTCTGAGATCATTTCAAATAGCAAAAAAGGATGATTTGCCAAATTACAAACGGCGACGCTAGAACAAGAAATTTTTCTGTTTGAATTCCACATATATGTTCCTATATTTGGACAAGAAAATGTATAATCGTACAAATACTTAAAATCTCTTCCTAAAAATATTTTCTTTAATATTTAAATGCAATTTATTAAAAAGCTAAAAAATAATTATTTTACCTAGATATCAGCTTTTATATTAAACGCAACTCAGATTCCATTTTCAAAACTTATTTATTGCATTTAAATAATAACGGAAACCAGAGTAAATTCGTACGATTTTGTAAAAACTGCTATGACAGGTACAATAATATTTTAGTTCTGAAATTAATTGTACTGACTAAGTGAAGATAAAGAAAAAACAAACAATTATCCGCGGAAGGATTTAATTTTTATTTGGCAGTTAAATTACAAAATCACATAAAATATTTGTAGTTGTATTTTTGGGAAAAAATATCGTTGGCAAAAAATGGGTTATTGCAGGGGCGAACACAGGGGTGTTAAGACCTCACTCTCGGGTAAAATTCAAAAAATTCCGATTCGCAAAGAACCTTCGGCTAAATTCCTGTAAATCGTTGGGTTTTTATGTTTCTATTTTTCCCTTTTCGAATAATTGGTGGCATATCAGGGCCAATTTGTCCTTTTTTTGGAGCAAACACGTTCCAGAGGACACACTAAATGAATCACGAATCGCGGAAAAAAACGGGAAACGGATACAAGGCCGGAAGTCGGGGAAAAATTCGCATCCATGGCCTGACATTTAATTGCCTGGGGTTCAGTGGTGAGTTGATCGGTTGCAACCCGATAAACAAGCTGTGTTTGCATGAACATACCGACGACCCTTTCACCTGGATTGAGTTACAGCTCTGGCCCTTAGAAAAACCATCCTGAAACCGCCAGAGCCACCCGAAATCCCACCGACCACCACCCACTGTTTGCCAATCCGATGACGACAACGATGACCGTTAATCTGCCTCGCAGATTGGCCAGGTGCTTTTGATTGCTTTTTTACCTGTTGCGTATTCCCACCTGCAATTCCGATATCCCCGCCGCTGGGATTGCGACCAAATAGAAGCATTCAATGCATTTGAATTCACCTAATTAGTTCATGTAGGTTTATGTAGTTCATGTTATGCTTTAATCGCCGCCGGCGTTTTACGTCCATCAGATTCAGAAACAGTCCGCTATAGAAATTGTAAATGCTAATTGGTTGTGGAAGGCAAGGGCAGGGAACCTTGAAATTGTTAAATTTTGAAAAGTTTCAGGCAAATTGCAATGCTAAACTTAAATAAAAATTAAGATAATTAAGATTTTAATCATATTAGAGTTTGGCTTAAAATGGGGTTTGGAGTAGTGTGTTCTTCTGTGACTTGGCCAAAAATAGTGAAAAGTCAAAAGCACATACTTTTTATAAACAGCGAAAAGTTAAAAAATTATTCCACGAAACTTTCTGACAAACTTTGAAAAATTAATTCTTGTTGCCAGTTCTTACATTGATTTTCCATGGTTTTTTAAAGTTTAACGACGAAGCCCCAGAATAATTTTATTAGTGAACGCGCAGCACATAAACTTGTCTTTTCTGACCTAAAGCGCAAAGGTTACTCCTCTTCTGAATAATTCACGGTTATATCATTATACAGAGCTAGTCTCAAGAACGCTTCTTAGTCAGAGATACGAATTGGCAGCTTCTTGAGATCATTCTCTAAAAAACAGTTTTCAGGTTAAGCATTGAACCGAAGGAAGGGACGGCTTTTATGGACATCAAGGTAGGTTTAAAAAGAAACTATGATAATTTTACTTTTTTAACTACCATTTAGTTTTGGAAATTCATTTTTCGCTAGCATTACTTTTAAGGACTCTAATGAGTAATATTTTCAGGGACTTTAATTTTTTTATGCACCCGGAAATGGTGGCGCCATTCGTGTCTGCTTTAGGTACTATCAATTTAAGTGCCCGAGCAATCGATAGCATTCAACGTTCCAATTGGACTGCTATCGATAAGAGGCGCAACAGCTGATTTTGATAGTTGCGTTCGTTTTGAGTTGAATTTTAGTTAATTTACGCCGGTTATCACTGAAATGGCCCCACCAAAGGCCGCCAGCCAGCGACAGGCGGTGCGGCGCAAGAAGTCCGGCACCCTGGTGGACTCCATCCTGGACAAGTACCTCAATGTGCGGTTCTTCAAGTACCTGGTGCTGGAGCCGGCCGCCCTGCCCATAGTTGGGCTTTTCGTGCTCCTCGCGGAGGCGGTGATCAACGTGGTGGTCATCCAGAGGGTTCCCTACACGGAGATCGACTGGGTGGCCTACATGCAGGAGTGCGAGGGTTTCCTCAACGGCACCACCAACTACGCCCTGCTCCGCGGTAAGTTTCCCTTCCCTTTTTCTTCGGTTTCGGGTTTATTTTTAGCGACAGGTGACCCCATTCTGGGCTTCCTTTCCCGGCACCTGCTCTTGTTTACTTTGTCAGGCGATCATGCTGTTAAACTTTCTTATTGGAAAAGGTTTAGGGCACAATATTCCCCCTTTTCTGGTTTATTGCTTGAAGTTTAACAAAGAAATACATCTATATACTAATGGTTTATCTTAAAATTTGAGATATAATATATAACATAAACTCAGAAGCAATATAGAAAATGGTATTTAGAAGTCTAACAAAGAAATAAATCTATATACTAATGGTTTTTCTTAAAATTTAAACTCAGAGATAATATATAACATTGTCTTTAAACTCAGAATTTATTTAGTTTGATGGAAAACTTTGTTTTTAATAAGTTTTTTAATTTACAATTAAGTGCGAAGATCTTCAATTTCTTAAATTTTGTGACAAAATATAACATTAACTCTGGAGCAATAAAGAAATTTGTATTTAAACTCAATACTTCATTAGTTTGAAGAAAACTTGGTATTTTGAAATAGAAAATAAAAAATATTCACAAGTACCATACTTTTGTTTTTCTAATAGATACTAGTTTTTTTTTTTAGTGTTGCTTTTCTAGTCTTTTTCTTTAAAAACTATAAATTTCATTACTCATAATTTTAAACGTCCAAAATGGCAAAGTTGTCTCTTGGCACAACAAATCTGAAAACCAAAACTAAATTTCAATAGAAAAAGTTTCAATTAAAATTGCTCGAATGACGGTCAATTTGGTTTATTCATCTCGAACCAACTCGTATTTGGAATACACTCCCTCGGTTCCCGCCCCTCGCTTAGATTAGCAACAATAACGTGCGTTAACTTAGACACTAACAAACAGAATCGACTGTCAGTTGAACATGGACTTGATTTTGTTTATGAAGCCTCCGCCGTCGCCTTGTCCGGATCCGGATCCGCCGCCTTCTTTCGCTTTGGTTTCGTGTTCCGTCCGCTGGTCTTTGCCTTTGCCTTCTGTTTCTGCTGCTCCTCCTTCTCCTTCTCCTGGCTTGGAGGATCGATCTTCTCCTGCTGCAGCTGCTCCTGATGCCTCACTCGCTCCTGCGCTGCAACGAGAGATGGGGGAAAGAAAAGAGAGAACACCATCATTTAACATAGCTCGCACATAAAACGCACGTATATTTCAACTACGAATTCAAGCTCCAAGCTCCTTTCATTCAGAGATTGCATTGGTAGATCTGGAGATTATTTACGTTGCTTTCTTACTGCCATCTTTGCGATTCGTGATGCCGTGGATCTGGCCCGGAGTGTCCTCCTCCAGCTCGGCGTACGCCTCGATGAGGGCCAGTCGCTGCTTGTCCAGCTTCCTGCCCGACGGCACCGCGATCTTGATGTGCACGTAGTGATCGCCGTGCCCGTGGGCGTTCACCCGCTTCAGGCCCTTGCCGCGCAGCCTGATCTTGTGGTGGGACGAGGTCCCCGGCTCCACGTTGATCCACTGGTCCTCGTAGACGCCCTGCACGCGCACCGTGCCGCCGAGCACCGACTGGGCCAGCGAGATGGCCGCATCGGTGTGCACGTCGGCGCCCTCGCGGCGGAAGTAGTCGCTGCGCTCCACGCGGAAGGTGACGAACAGCTCCTTGCTGCCCACCTGCATGCGCACCGTCTGCCCGTTCTCGATGCCCGCCGGCACCGGAACGGTGACCTTGCGCCGCTGCACGGTGCGTCCCTTGCCCTCGCACTCGCTGCACGGATACTTGATGTGCTGCCGCGTTCCCTGGCAGTAGCGGCAGGTGGAGCGCATGACGAAGGGGCCCGTGGACACCGTTTCGAAGCCGGTGCCGTTGCAGTACTGACAGCGACCCGGTTTCGTGCCCGGCTCGCACTTGGAGCCGGCGCACTTGGGGCACTGGTCGACCACATTGACGTTCACATCCTTGTTGACGCCGCGCGCCGCCTGGGCGAAGGTCAGGTCCATCACCATCTCCTGGGCCTGGCCGAAACCGAACTTGGAGTCGGCAAAGTCGTCGAAGCTGTTCGTCCGGAAGTTGTTGCCCTCGCCGAAGATCTTGCGGAACAGCTCCTCGGGATCGATGGTCGAGCGGAACTGCCAGTTCTGCGAGAAGCCCTCGGGCCCGAAGCCACCTCCTCCGCCGCCGGGGAAACCGCCGCCCTGGCGGCCCATATTCTCCGCCGTCTGGCCGTAGGTGTCGTACTCACGGCGCTTCTGCTCGTCGCTGAGCACCTCGTAGGCCTCGGAGACCTCCTGGAACTTGCGGCCCGCGTCCGGATCCTCCTTGTTCGTATCGGGATGGTACTTCTTGGCCAGCTGGTAGTAGGCCTTCTTGATGTCCTTGCCGTTGGCGTTCTTGGCCACGCCCAGCGTCGTGTAGTAGTCCTTGGCCAGGAGGCGGCGCGTGGTGTGCAGGCGGCGTTCTTGCGATGGATTTCCTGCGCTCCTCGTCGGTTTCCATGCGCTGGAGAGGCTTCGGCAGGCGATGGCACTGGGCGTGGAGCACGCGGTGGCCGCCAGGTAGCTGCGCACCGCCGGCAGGTGCCGAAATACGAATAAATTTTTACACGAAATCATCATTTTTCCATAAAAGTATCAGTTTTTCAGCTAACATGCCGTAACCTCCATGCTGCCCTACGAATGCTTCTCTCTCGCTCGCTCCTTCGCTCGGTGTTCCGTTCCCGTTGACGTTTTGACAGTCGCCCCGCAACGCGGCCCGTTACGTCAGTCGAACAGCTGATTTTGAATTTGAATGGCCAACGGCTAAAAGTGACTGAATTTAAAATATATTTTAGTTGATTTTCTAAAATTATTACTGGATAAGCCCGTTTTAAATTGTTTTTTTAATTTTTACTGGCTAACTACCATTTCAAAACAATGTTAATATTCATACATATCTCAGAACTTTTCTGTTTATTTTTCAAAATTATTACTGGTTTATAATCCCCAGTTTATCCCCAAAACCTTTTCCTTCGATTTAATTATATTTTGTCATTCTGTATTTTCAATAATTAATTTTAAAAATGTATGTCATTAGATTTAAGAACTAATTTTGTTCGAATATAAAATTGTTTATCCGTTGTGACTAGCGTTGTAATTTGTAAGTTATACAATTTATAGCTTTAGGAAGCCAAAACAATAAATAATACTAATATTTCCATTAAAATTTGTACATGTATTTAAGATATTTTCTACTATTTATACCCGTTACTCGTAGAGTAAAAGGGTATACTAGATTCGTGCAAAAGTATGTAACAGTTAGAAGGAAGCGTTTCCGACCCCATAAAGTATACATATTCTTGATCAGGGTCACTAGCCGAGTCGATCTAGCCATGTCCGTCTGTCCGTCTGTATGAACGCTGAGATCTCAGAAACTACAAAAGCTAGAAGGTTGAGATTTCCCACAATATTCTTTGGCTTCCTACGCAGCGCAAGTTTATTTTAGCCGAGCGCCACGCCCCCTCTAACGCCCACAATCGCCCACTAACGATTTTAAAATGGGTCCTGCGCCCACATCTTTAAAGATTTCCGAGAAGTATAAATGCAATTTTGTTGTGTATATTTATACCTATCGAAATGTAGAAGACATTTTTCAAATCGGACCATTCATTAAAAAGTTATACGATTTATAAATTGTCAACATATATCTATCTCCCTCGCACTCCCTTTAGCTGAGTTACGATTATTAGTCGGGACACCAACCCGACTATAGCGTTCTCTCTTGTTTTCCTAATAATTCCAATATTTATTTATTTCAAGTCTTTTCTACTTATTTTCTTTAAGTATTACTAACTTAAATCGTTTAAATATATTATTTAAATATATTTCCTTATTTTCTAGGTGACACTGGACCTCTGGTTTATCCCGCCGCCTTCGTTTACATCTACTCGGCTCTCTACTATGTGACCTCCCACGGAACGAATGTCCGCCTGGCGCAGTACATCTTCGCCGGGATCTACCTGCTCCAGCTAGCCCTGGTGCTGCGGTTATACGCGAAGAGCAGGAAGGTGCCGCCCTACGTCCTGGTGCTCAGTGCCTTCACCTCGTACCGCATCCACTCGATCTACGTGTTGCGTCTCTTCAACGATCCGGTGGCCGTGCTGCTGCTCTACGCCGCCCTCAATCTCTTCCTGGATCGCCGATGGAATCTCGGTAGCATTTTCTTTAGCCTGGCGGTGGGCGTTAAGATGAACATCCTGCTGTTTGCTCCGGCTCTACTCCTCTTCTATCTGGCCAATCTGGGACTCCTAAAGACGATCCTGCAGTTGGCCGTTTGTGGAGGGATCCAAGTGCTGCTGGGAGCTCCCTTTCTGCTCACCCACCCGGTGGAGTATCTCCGTGGGAGCTTCGATTTGGGCCGTATCTTCGAGCACAAGTGGACGGTGAACTATAGGTTTTTGAGTAGAGAGCTCTTCGAGAACCGATCCCTCCACCTTTCCCTGCTGGGCCTCCATCTGCTGCTCCTCGTGGCCTTTGCCAAGCCCACCTGGACCTTCTTCCAGAGCTACGTGCGGCTGCGCCGCATTGAGGATCAGCTGCAGCCGCAAATAGAGCAGCAGAATCGAGAGGTGAAGGCCCAGAAGAAGGCCAAGAAAGCGGAGAAGCACCAGGATCAGAAGAAGTTCACCTCCGAACAGCAGTCCTTCCTGAAGGCCTTCGAAAGGAGCCTGCAAAAGGCGTCGGGAGCGAAGGCAGCTGCAGCTCCTGTCCAAACAGAACCAGAACGCTATGGCATCCACTTTGATCGCTGCACTCAGCTGGCCCTGCTGCCCTTCTTCCTGGCCAACCTGGTGGGCGTTGCCTGCTCCCGATCGCTGCACTATCAGTTCTACGTCTGGTACTTCCACTCGCTGCCCTATTTGGCTTGGTCCACGCCCTACTCGCTGGGCGTGCGCTGCCTCATCCTGGGACTCATCGAGTACTGCTGGAACACCTATCCCAGCACGAACTTCTCCAGCGCTGCCCTGCACTTCAGCCACATCGTCTTGCTGGCGGGAGTGGCCAAGCAGCTCATCCAGACCATGCGATTGAACAATGCGGCCAAAAAGGAGCAGCTGGAACAGCAGAAGAAGGTTCAGTAGGCGGAGGAACTTTCTAGCCACGTGTGCCACTTGAAAACATATTGATTATGCCAAAAAATAAAAAGTACTTACACTAAATATCAGCTAGTTTTTATATAAGATAATAATTATGGGTAGACCTCGGATTTTGCATACTTGCATATTTTTATAGGATAAAGATAGATCAATTCCGAAAACACCAAAGATCGTTTCAATAAAAATATAGTTTAAAATTAATGGAATATTTTATTTTTTTTTGCATAAAATGCATATGCATAAAATATGCAAAATATAAAATAAACTCAACTATTCAAGATTGACCATTTCATAGCCAACCTAATTTACCCGAAGAAAATTGTTTGTTCCTTTTCGTCATTTCTGAGATATCTAATTTTTTCACAAATTAAAGGAAACCCTATTTATATTTCCAACGAGTAGGCGAGAAGGGGGAAAAATAGTAAAAGGGGCAGAATAGTTTTTGGCCCAATCGGCCAAACTGCTCGTTTAAATTGCTCGCCGTGTTTACTGAAGGTTCCTTGGAATGCCAGAGGTCTGCATTAAAAATTTGAGCCTCCAGTTGTTCGCATATATTTTGCATATTTCCGATATTCATTCGAATTTATTACATTTGAAAAATATGACCTAGAAATTTAGGTAAAAATCCGAGGTCTAGTTATGCGTAATGTGTACAAATAATTTTATTACCAAGGCATGTTGAAAATTGATTTACTTTTATTTGGGTACGTTAGTCTTTTTCGTATGGGCGCTGTACAAACGGCGGTGAGTTGGTTACCAACAACCTACTATCTACATAAAATAACTTAAACAATGTCCGCTTAAAACTACAAGAGCAATAATGGTGCTGTGATTTTCCCATTGAATGTAAAAAGAAAGAAAGTCAATCGCTGCCCACAGCCGCCGTGGTGGGCGTACGCAGGCTGAGGGGCGTGGCAGCGGCGACAGTCACCGTCGCCGGTGGATTGGGTGAGGATGGAGCCGCCGTCGTCGCTTCCTCCGCCGGCACACTGCTGCTCCTCTGGATGCTAAAGAATCGCAGGAGCGTCGTCTCGCTGTTTCTCCTACTGGAGGTTGGTGTTCTTGGCTGGGAATGGGAATGGGAGGAGCTGCCGGCCGGTGTACCGCCACCGCCGCCATCCGTGTGCGAGATGCGCCTGCGGGGCGTGGCCTGCAACCGGGGACTGCACTCGGATTGCCGCAGACTCTGGAGACGCGGAGAGGCCAAGACATCCGCCTGCTGCTCCTCGCTTATCTTATCGCTTAGCGTCACATGGGCCCGGCCACTCATCAGCTTCTGCTTGCGGATATTCGTCAGCCAGTCCACCTTCTCCTTGGCCTTCCGCTTGGGCGACATGATGCCCAGGTGGGGGGCCTCGCCATCCAGCACGTAGTTGGGCAGGTTGGAGGTGGGCGAGTAGATGATGGCGGAGATGGGCGGTGGGTTGGCTGCCTCAGCCGACGCCGCTGCGGCTGCTGCTGCTGCTGAAGTCGTCGGTGGGGAGGTGTACATGTGGTTTACATTCTCACTCAGCGGAGAATGACCTGGCGTGCTGAGGAGCTTGTGCAGTGGCGACACATCTTCCGCCGCCGAGTTCTCCTTCTGCCGTTTGCTTGGCGAGGCGTCCTCTTCGTTTATGGGCTGCAGTTGAATGTGGCGGCAAGTCGTTTCCTGGCTAGAGGGTCCAAAGAGCCGCCTGCCGCGAGACTCCAACGGTTTGGCTCGCTTCTGCGGCTGCTCTGTGGCCTCCGTCTCCGGATTAGCTACACCCAGCATTTCCAGAAACGATCGTTTCGTAGTCGTCGTCTTTTCCACAGAGCCGGGTGTGCGTTCATTTTGATCCATCAGCCGCTTCAGCGAACGCGGCGTGGACTCCAGTTCTCGCAGATTGTACTTGTGATTGCCACTCGAAGGACCAGATGACTTCTTGCCGAATTCCCTCACGTAGGAGGCAGTTCCCCGGTACTTTTCCGCACGCTCCGCCTCGCTGAGCCCCTCCAGATCGGGTCCAATGCGCCAGATCTTGTGACGCGCATCATCGCTGCACGTGACAATGGGGCAGTCGTGACTGGAGCCCCAGGCCACACAGGTCACTTCGACTGTATGGCCAGCTAAAGCCACCAGCGGCTCCTCCGCATGCTCCAGATTCCAGATGTAGGCTCGCTCATCGCTGCTGCCGCTTAGCAGATACTTTCCATCCGGGCTGAGGCAAGATTTGATGTAGAACGTCGAGTTCAGCAGGCCCTTGTAGCAGGCCAGCGGTCGCGGCGAGTAGGAGGCCAGGTTGTAGCAATAGATGGTGTTGTCCATGCAATTCGCATACAGCTTCGTGCCCGCGGCGTCCACAATGAGGTTGGTGAATCCCCGGAAGGTGGAGTGGCCGGCGTAGGGCAGCTTGTGCCTGGGCAGCGGCTCCTTCTTGTAGGCCGTGTAGTTGCGCCGCAGGTCCCACACCTTGATCACTCCATCGCCGGCGCCGCAGGAGATGAGCGTGTCGTTATCCTGGAAGGCCAAACCGGTGATGCTGCTCGACGTGGTGCCGCCTGCCATTTTGGGCGTGCGTGTGCGCTGCTTTCGCTGCGAAACCGGAGTGCCCGGCCCGCCCGTGTGGCCGCTGTAGATGCAGTTGTCCACGCGCGAGGTGAGGTCCATGTTGAGATTGGCCCTGATGTCCCAGATGAGAATGGCGCCGTCGCGACCGCCGGTGGCGAAGACAGCGGGATCGGTGCGCTTGAAGGCGGCCGATTTCACGGACCGCGTGTGGCCCACATAGGAGTTGAGGCCACGGATCCCGGAGCCCGCCACCTCCCACAGGCGGGCCGTGTGATCGCCCGAGGCGGAGACGAAGCGCATCTGGCCGGGAGCCCATTCCAGATCGAAAACGGCATTGTAGTGGCACTGCGGACCCACCAGGGACTGCTCCTCCGGCTGCTGGTTGCGCTGCGTGGTGTCCTGCAGCGTGATCTTGCCGTCCTCGTTGGCAATCGCCAGGATGTGCCGATAGCCATCGCAGTTGGCGAACTTGGCCGAGAAGATCGGCGGCTCCGGATTGAAGTCCGGGCAGTAGTTGGCCGGCGCAATGCCCCGCCAGCTGTCCTCCTTGGCCACGGAAAGGCGACGCAGGGCAAAGTCGTAGGTCCTCTCGTTGGCTGCAAAAACGGGAGGGGACAAGCGTGAAATTAGTGCCGTGGCTATGGCATAGTTTTTCGCGGATTTTCTGCTAGATCAGCAGTTTCCAAGGGAACTACTTGTGGGGTTTCTCAACCCCCTCACTGATCCTCTGTGAGAATATGCATATATCACTGATATTCTGGCATTTAAACCCGATAAACACCTTGAACCCTTTTTGAAATCAACACCTCGGCTCGCAGGAAATTCGAGCGCCAAAAGTGAGATTCTCCCGCCAAGCGATTAACTCACCGTATCCGTGCTCCCTGGCCCGCAACTTGTTGTATATGTTCATCGTGCAACCCGCTCGGCGACTGCTCCTCGAATTCCGCGTTTTCAACTATATTAATTGCTATTTCCTTTGAAATAAAACAACCTACGAAGCATCGAAAATATTTTTCAACGACGCAGCTGGGACCTTTTTGCAGTGTGACCGTGCGCGATTAAGCGGAAGATGCCTTTTGGAGCGAAAACTCATTCGAGAACCGCCAAAAATCAAAAGCGGTATGTTTTAATTTTAAATAAATAATTCAAATAATGCAAGGGGATTCCTAAACTGTTGAATTGCTGAATGTTGAAAATTCAACAAAAACGCAATTAAGGGAACGACCCAAAATGGTTCCTGTGAATTTTAAACAGCGTTATTTGTTGAAAAATTCACGGAATTTAAAGCATGTAAAATTTGATTTATTATTGCTAGTTACTGTCTAAAAGTGTTACCAAGGTAAAAGAACCACAAATATGCATCTGAGTTGATTTTAAAATAAATAATGCGTACTGGTGATACTAAAAGTTACAGAGTTGCCACGACTTTTAAAAAAGGTGACAACTCTGGCTTTCACAATCAACAAAATTTTCAGCAGCCCCGAGGCTGATGAATTGCTGAAATTCTAAATTGACTCTGATGTAAACACCCTTAACCCGACCAAAATTCAACAATTCAGCAATTCAACAGTTTAGGAATCCCTACTCTTTTATAAAAGAAAACTATACTTCATTTTTATTTTTAATTATAGTCTTATTTTGTACAATTTTATATTTTTTTTGTTGTCTACTATTTTAAGTTCTGTACATTACAATATGATGCATTTCAAGTATTGCAATAAAAAAATAAAACTAATGAAAACAATTAAAAATATATTTTTAAATAGCTGCTTTAAAAATACCAAGAACTTACATCTTTCCCAGTTTGTGATTTCGCGATTACACTCTCCATGGTCACACTGGCTGCGCTCATATCTTGTTTTTTGTTGCTGTTCGCTGACTTGTTTTATGTTTAATCGAAGTTGCTCATAAATTTCGCAGCAAATCGCCATCAATTTGCGCATTTAAATGCAGCCGCCCCTTTTTAGTTGCTTGTGCTAGGATTTGGAATCGCAGACAGGTCGTTGGATACACACACACACACACACGGGCAGAGCAAAGGGAGCCAAGGATACAATTCAAGGACTGCAGCAACAAAAACACAGGTGAGCGGGCAGAGCGCCAAAGTCGGATTCTATTCCTGTTTTCAGGGGGAGGGCGAAATATGCCTGTTGCAATCAATAACACCCAGAAGGCAAAGAAACCCCCTTTGGGAAAACGGAACACGCAAATGCAGGAACCCCAAAACTTTGTTGGTAAACTGAGGGAGTGGAGGTCGAATGAAGTTGGCTCACAAAATGGCCAGAGAAACTCAAGTGCCCAGTTGTTTTGGCTGTAGCGAACTTCCGCATACCACCGTTGTCCTTGGAGGAGACCCACTGGCACCCCCTTTTTCGAAGGATAGGCCTCCGTTTTATTGCACTTTGCGTGACCTTAACCATTTGGAGCGGTACGTGTCATGACACGGTTATATGCTAGACGTTATCTAGCTGGAACTGGAATTCACTTAGTTAAATTAGTAGCCAGGGATGCCTAGTTCTAGTTCTAGTTCTAGCTAATACATACGCATATGTATCTGCATGAACTCCGCTGACCCACCGCCAATCCAATGGATTGCTGGCCCCGGTCTAGACTCCTTGTTTGGACAGTTGGAAAAGCTGCCGCATTTCCATTTAAGGCTCCCACACGTACGACACGCGCCACGAAGCCGTTAGAACGACCTTATAAATACGGCTAGAGAAGAACAGTTGGTCATCCATTATTTATAAGGTCGAACCTCCTTATATCGTACTGAATTCGGATTTAGCTTGTACTAACAACAGTGAGTTATGATAACCCCAATTCGTCTTTCCGAGAATTTTTTCTTTATGATTTTATTGTAAGAACGGGTTGTGACGAGTGTACGATAACGAATTTCAATTTTTGTACTCGGAACATTCTATTCTATTTAGTTTTTGATCATAATTTTATTCATACTGTTTTATAAATATGTTATGTTTTTATTTTAGGACTAAAGGTAGGCCTGTTTTATTACCCACTCCATTCCTCCTTATATCGTACTGACTTTGAATTTAGTTTGTACTAACAACAGTGAGTTATGATAACCCCAATTCGTCTTTCCGAGAATTTTTTCTTAATGATTAAACTGCCGTTTTTATTGTAAGAAAGGGGTTGTGACGAGTGTACGATAACGGATTCCAATTTTTATACTTCTATTTTGATTTTGTTCATAATTTTATTCATGCTGATTTATAAATATACAAAGTTTAAATTAAAAAGTCTGTTTAGTTTAAAACTTGTTATACTACTTAAAAACAAATGACTCATCCTAGCTAAAGGTAGGCCTGTTTTATTACCCACTCCACTTGAAACACAATGGAACACAAAGAAACAGGGTTTCTTTATCTAGAGATACCGTGCTGATGAACGTTGCCCAATCATTCATGTTACTATATCTATATCTGTAATTCCCTTATCAATGCTTGCAACTGGAATCGGTGTAATATATGTGTGATATATAGCAACGATGTCGGTGGCCGGTCTTCGACAATGTCTGCTGCTCTGGAGCGTCGACTACTGGAACTTGGAAGGTAAAGCGCTGAAAAGTGCGGAGCTGCTTTTCTTTTCAGTTGCCAGTATTCAGTATCCAGTTTTCAGTTGTTTCTCCGTTTTGTTTGGTTGCTCGATTTGCTTGAATTGCTCCACCACAATGCTTTCGTCAATGAATATGCAGCGATAATAATGCCTGAATCTCAATCGCACCCCTCCCTTCCGCTTTAGTCATGGCTGACAATGTCTTCAAGTCGCACGATATCGGGCTGCGGGCGCAGAAGAAAATCCTCTCACGCATGGCCACCAAAAACATTGCGAAGGCCTTCATCGACGGGACAACGGCCTCGCTGCTGGACAACCTGTACAGGCTCTGCAAGATGCACACCGGCAACAAGGCCAAGGCGGAGAAGCTGATCAAGAACATCATCAAGATCGTGATCAAGATCGGTGTTCTCCACCGTAACAATCAGTTCAGCGAGGAGGAGTTGCAGAAGGCGGAGAACTTTAAGAGAAAGTTTCAGGTGAGATCTAAAAACAAATACTAATCCATAAGCAGATAATGACTTATAAATTTTACTTTCAGAACACCCAGCTCTCCATCATATCATTCTACGAAGTGGACTTTACGTTCGACCTGGCCTACCTGCAAAAGTCCATAGCCGAGTCGCAGATGGCCCTCAAGTCGATTGTGCAGCCGCATCTCACAGAGAAATCTCTGGGCCGCATCGACGAGGTGTTCGATTTCTTTGGCGAGGAGGCGCTGCTGGAAACGGCTTTCCGATCGGACTCCCCGTACCGCGAGGTGATGGGAAAGATCGTGGCCGACATTAATGCCGCCATGGAAACGGGGGATATCTGAGGAGATCCGGCAAACGAACTGAGCTGTCATTGCGTGCTATGAACGAAAGGCTATCTATCGAAACCAAAAACGCAGCCAGTAGCTAGTTGCAAATGGAAAATGCTTGCTTAAGAGCTCACCCACCAACACCAAAATACAAAATCTAGATATAGCTATAGGAACAGCAACGACAGTGGGGGAAAGGCTGCGAAAAATGGAAAAAGACATGTGTTTAAACAAGAGTTTAGTTTAGTTTAACTAGTGATATACCATTGACAACAATATCAAAAGTGTAAAGACGTCCGTATTGATTATTTTGATGACAACGTTAACATTTGTGTACTCAAGGTCTATATAGTATAGGAAGAACCAAATGCATTTCGCCAAAGGAATTCACCAAACGGAAATTGTAAACTCGAGCAAAATGCTTTTATTGGTCTGTAAGTCGTTGATCGTGTGTGTGAAACTAACTTTATATGTGTAAGTCTAGGTGTTAAATGGTAAATACTTCAGCACATAAGCAATTACTAGTGGTCAACTTTTTGATACTCCAAAACTCGCTGTATCCTATCGCAATTACCTGTACGCATATGTGCCCCACAGACACCGTCTTAGTCAGACTTCTACGTACTTAACTGATCGTTGCTGATCGAAATCACCTAATACCTAACTCACCCGCAAGCGTTAGTCAAATGCTTAAGTTGGTTATGCTAAGTTGTCACCAGAACCTGTTTACCCTTCGACTCCTTTTGTCTGAGAGCCAGCTCCGCACATCTATTTGTATTTCTCTATGTATTCCAAGCCTCAAAGGGGTCGATAACCTTAAGCATTATTTATGATACTCCCACAATGATATTCCAAGTACCCGAGACATATCGAAACTATCTAAAAGAAAACGAAGCTAAGGGGACAATAAGTTGTTTGAATTTTTCTAAAACTTCTGGTTCAAGCGGGGAAGCACAATTTTAGTCGTTTAGATTTTAAATATTTATTTGTTTACCAACAAAACTATGTTGACTATAAAAATAAAAGCAACAATTACCAAAAAGTCATAGTTTCTCTTACTAAATCTGCTTTTTATTCGATTACCTTCTCGCAGACAGTATGTGGTGTCTCAGAGCCTTGGATGCCTTTTTATTAAAGTATGTATCGTCCAAAAATTAAGATTAAATATACTTATAAGAATGAGACTTTCTAGTATGTTTTTGTATTATTTTTCCAGTACAAATATCCATGCAGAGGTAATCTGCACAAACACAAATTAATCAATCCATTAATATATCTTAAAAAAAACTTTTAAATCAAACACAGGTTTTTTTTTGACGGAAAAAATACTGTTAAAACAGTAGTACCCTTCGGGCATTGGAATGACAACAGTCAATCTATGATCCAGATAGCTAATTGGTAACTTTTCTACATAAACGTCATGCTGCAATATGAATGAGACGAGTATTAAAGTTAAATTACTCATTAAGATTGGCTTAAAGCTTACATTGTAAGGGCAACTGTGGTTAATATTTGAATATGGAGCGAACATGTCATAGAAGAAGGATAAGAACTGATTCTGATTTCCCTTAAGGAATTTACAGGCGTCGGCAGTAAAATCGTAAAGAAAGGGCTTATATCCACTCAGTCTCTTAAGAACTCGCACTCTTACCTTAAATTTAAAATAAAAGTAACTTTTTAGAATACTTTCATTAAAACTAAGTGTGGATGAATTCATACCGTTACATTATTAACTGGGAATTTGTGAAACTTTAGCCTTACTGTCATGTACTTATAAGTCCGGTTCACAGACTTTAAGAAGCAGTCGCCGTTATCCATGAATTCTGTGTCCAAGGAAGTACAGTTTAAGTTGGTAAACTCGAACTTGCAATATACCTAAAAACTTTTCAGATTAAATACGGGTTTTTACACCTTCGAATAGACTAGTTACCACTGGGAATAATAATATTATAACCAACACGGCTGTCCATCTAAACGCGGCCATGGCTCAATAGTTTTTAAAAAGCCCATACTGATGTTTCTCACTACTCTTTACACGACGCAAAATGGTCATAATTCCAATTAAGATTAGAGGGTCAGATAATACAGACATAATACAGTGTTAGTCGGGTCCAATAATTCATCTAATAATTTGTATAAAACTCCACAAATAATGTAATTTGAAATTTAAAAAAAAGCATATTACTTTAATACAAAACAGAGGATTGGTACAGAAAAAAAGGTATTGGAAGTTAACTACATAACATATTTGTAAAGGGCCTTATATACTACTTTTTTGTGGCCCCTTTTGAAAAATATTTGGCCATTGTTTTAAAATATTTTTTTATTTTTAGAATATTTTTGTTTGGCACTGGCTTAGTTTAAGAGAGATTATTAGTTGGTAATTAAATGGTCGTTAATTTTATAGATAGATTTACAGCTACTAATTGCCCCACACAATACTCTCGATCCAGTCCGTAAAAAGGTGCACTTTGGTGTAGACACTCGGCAGCCCTTGGGAACCACAAACCAATCCGTAAGAGACGATGCCGATCACTTGCTTTAAGCACGGATAGAGCGGATGCTGCACGAAGATGGGACCGCCGGAGTCGCCGTTGCAGGTGTCCGCTTCACTGGTCATTGACCCTGCGCAGAACTGGGTGCGCGTCTCGATGCTAAAGCGCAGGCGCTTCTGGCACTCCTCGTCGGTGAATCGCTGCAGACTGACCTTCAGAAGGTGAGAGGACTTCACGCCCTCCGCGGTGAATCCCCAGCCGGCGGTGGTCACCTGAGCGTTCTCGTTGCCGCTGCTGGGCGGCAGACAGACTGCCGCAACATGGTCATTAAACACAGCCTCCCGATCTAGTTCCACCAGAGCAATGTCGTTTTTGAAGCCACCTTCGTCCTCATTGTCACTGTCATAGCCCGGATGCACCACGTAGTTGACCACCCGAAAGTCCTGAACGTCGGCATCATCGGTAGTACTGTTATAGTCCAAGTCCCCCAGGCGAACTACAAACTTTGGCGAATCGAAATTGGGGTCCAACCGTTCGGCCTTTAATCTAGTTTAGTTTACAAATGATTTTCAAATGAGTCATAGATAAAAACAAGAGAGAACGCTATAGTCGTATATAGTTGGTGTCCCGACTATCTGATACCCGTCACTCGGCTAAAGGGAGTGCGAGGGAGATGAATATATATTATTTTTTTGATTGCGTATAACTTTTTAATGAATTGCCCGATTTAAAAAATGTCTAAAATATACACAACAAAATTGCATTTATACTTCTCGGAAATCTTTAAAGATGTGGGCGCCAGACACATTTTAAAATCGTTAATGGGCGATTGTGGGCGTTAGAGAGGGCGTGGCGATCGGCTGAAATAAACTTGCGCTGCGTAGGAAGCCCAAGAATATGCGTGGGAAATCTCAACTTTCTAACTTTTGTAGTTTCCGAGATCTCAGCGTTCATACGGACGGACAGACAGACGGAAATGGCTATATCGACTTGGCTAGTGACCCTGATTAAGAATTTAATTTTATAGGGTCGGAAACGCTTCCTTCTCCCTGTTACATACTTTTTACTCTACGAGTAACGGGTACAATTACTAGTAAGATCTACTTACTCGTCCGTCTCCAGGCAATGGGCTGCTGTCAGAATGAATCTGGGATGCACCACAGCACCACCGCAGTCCCAACTGATTTCGGATTTGTTGAATCGATGGGTGCCGATCAGGGCCATGAAGGGGAATTCCCGACCAGACGCCTTTGTGCCGCCCACGATGAAAGGCGTGGAGCGACAGGCAGTTCTCCCCTCATTGTACTGCTTGCACTCTGAAAAATGTAGCATGAAAACGTGTATAATGGAAGGAAATCATTGCAATCTTCCCTTACGCTTCTCAAAAGGCCTCGTCTGCTCGACAGGTTTTCGATTCTGGTGATCCAGCGGTATGGGACAGCATACAATATCGTTAAACTCGTCACAGTACTTGACTTCCGATCCAATCAGGTGCTGGTTGTAGAATATCACTGGACAGTCGGTGGGGGTCAGGTCCTTGCATTCGCCGGTGCCATTGTCACAATATTCGGCCACCACGCCGACCGAAACAATCAGCAACAGCCACTGACTTCTGGAGAACGCTTGCATTGCAATGCTTTGTGCGCACAACTGAGAACGGCTGACCAGATCCACTACCTCAGCTCAGCAGCGACGAGCTTTAAGTTTAGACGAGTTCTCCCAGAATCACAGACTCCCAAAATGACTCATTGATCTAAGCTTTCGATTGAAGATGTTGTCAGGAGCAGATCTGTATACCCACTGATAACTAATAACATAAATGGATAATTTCTTAAAATGTTTCTTAGTTTCTCGCTAAACAGATCTGAGAACGGTTTACACATTACATGGAACTTGGACTTACGTAATTACTCGATGATTAATGCAAAAAACCGGTACAATATAAATACTACTTTTAAATTAAGCTTATGTTTTACATATGTCTGATTGCAGTCTGCGTAAGTCTAGTTATGTCGCATGTTTTGCATATGCTGATGTTGCTGCTGCTGCTGCATATGTTGCATGTACATTTGTTGCTGCTGTTGGTTGAGTTGCTGCTGCTGCTGCAGGCTACCACCGCTGCCCAGTGGAACGCTGGTTGTTTGCACCGCATTCACCTGTTGCTGCTGCAGTTGCATTTGCTGCTGCTGTTGTTGTTGTTGTTGCTGCTGCTGTTGTTGTTGCTGCTGATGTTGTTGCTGCGGCTGCTGCTGATGTTGTGGTTGCAGGGGCGATTGTGTTTGACTTGTTATTGCATTATTGTTGGCACTGTCGGTGCTAAAAGTATTAAATGTTAATTAGACCTGTGCCAGCTCTCATTTCATTATGTTCTCACCTCTTTTCCGAGTGAATATCCTCCAAGTTGAGATGGGTTATGAACCTTAGGCGCATTTGCAGCAATGGTCGTAGCCGCTTGATGATGGCCTCCGATTCGTTTTTGATAATATTACCCACATGTATATATTTAATGTGGTAGCTAAAAGGGATACCGAAATATTAGGTCATTCCTTATTGATTAAATTATATTATTTAACTCACAGGAAATCGCATATCTGGTCCATGTAAAGCAGTGGCTTTGGACCATGCTGCTTGTCAACAATCTCCAGGATCTCATATAACAATACGGCAATACCAGCCACTGCATTCGGTTTCTCCAGTTCAATTCGCTGCAGGAAGGGTCCAAACACGTGGCACAGGTACAGCAGCTGCTGCTCGGTTCGCACACACGGCTTAAGTTTCTCCTTAAGGTACCTGGTCATGGCGGCCAGCTTAAAAGCGCCCATGTGATGGAACACCGAGTGAGCTACTGCCAACACCACGGCGTAGGTTTTCTCCAGCATCGCCTCGCGCACTGTCTTAAAGTTGAACAACTCGAAGGCATTGAATCTGTAGGTCCAATTAAGCATATTGGGCGTATTCAGCATTTCCTGCAGGCGATCGTATATGCCACTCCAGTAGGGCTCTGGTAAGGCGGCCAGAACAATGCCCACGGCATTGATGTAGCTGTGGATATCCTTCTGCGGAATGACCGCATATCCGCTGACTATCACATCAATAAGATTGCTGGCAACCAAAGAGGGTGCCACAGGCAGACCCAGGAGCTCCACGCAGGTCACATAGAGCGCATGGGTGGGGGCATTCGGGAACTCATTAAAACGCCAGTCGGTGGAGTAGAATACATTCTTTCCACTAATGGCTGCAACAAAAAGTGTCAAGTGTCAAGTGTCAATATTGAGACACACTTTACACCATCCTTTAACTCACTGTCTGCCAGACGCCTGATCAAACTCATGTAGTAACTCAGTTCGGGGGTCCACAGCGAGTCTTGGTTTTGCAGGTAGACCTTATACGGCTCACTAACACTCCAGTTGGACGGACGAATCTCACTAAAGGCGCTGGTAATAGCGCCCACCTAAAAAATTACAATAAATTAATAAAAAGCTAAACCGCGTTGAGAACAACTCTTACCAATTTTTTCTTTAAAGCGGGCCGATCTCTTAAGATTCGTTCATAATAATGCAGAGTGTTGTAGAGGTACGTTATTGGTCTATCATGAAACTTGTAGAGTATGCTCAGATGATCCAAAATGAAGCCCAGAATTTGATGAACATTCGTGATGGTGAGCTCGATAAATCTATGGACCACCACATCCAGAACGGGCAGGAATCGCAGACAGACATTGCTGAAGTACACGGGCAGCGGAATCTGCGAGGCAGACTCGTCCAAGGCGAACTTCTCTGGATATTTTTGGTGGAACGACAAGTGCTTGTCCTGCCTAGGGAAGTAAATTACTATTACTATAATGATCTCCTAAAAAAATGAAGCACCCACCAGTTGCTCTGTTTCCAGTGATCGGGATTGTTGTCCTTGCAGAACTCCTGAACGCGATTTCTTAGCTCACTTGCCTTTAGCAGCAGCAACTGAATTATAAGGAAGCAGACTTGCGCCTCGTTTCCCTCGTGGGTTCGCAGAGCAAGGCAAAGGACAACGCGATCGATGGTCACTACATTGAACTTCCAGATCATGTTATTGATAGTGTCCACGCACTTGTGAATGAAGTCACGGCCATCCGAGGAGCTAGCCACCTCGGCCACCAGATAATCGCAGAATTTGCGCAGGTGAGTAGACAAGGCTCTAGCGCTAATGCCCTCCAGGATTCTGTAAGTAAATTAAAAATGTAGGGAATATAAAAAATAATAAAATCTAAATGCAACGCACTTGTAAGCCACTGGGCTTATGTTCTCCGTCTCCCAAATTATCTTGAACAGGAGGCAAAGGAATAAGGGGTTGGTAGTTGGTCGCAGGAAGTGCGCGATGATGTCGTTCTCGTTCGTCATCGACGTCCACGTGCGGTACTCCTCCTCGACGGCCTTCTTAAGCTGCTGCTTGTTCTCTGGCGGTTGGTTATTTTGTGTAAAATATTCATTTAAGGCGGTCGGAAAGCAGGCCAGCGATTGCATTGGCCACGAGTGCGGCGTGTGCTGAATAATGTTGGCCAGAAAGTCCTTGCACCAGCCCTGCATCTCATCGCCGCCGCCGTGGACATGCATGGAACGAGCTAGCGTAAGGATGAGGACGCGGTTCAGCTCCTCGCTCTCATTCGATGCCACCGCTCCGGGGGATTTGTCGTTGAAGTAACGCGAAAACTGAGGCTGGAACTCCGCTGATCCAATGCTGGTGATCAGTCGTAAAGCAGTAGATTCAAAACTGAGGGAAAAGGAGATTAGCAATCTCTATATATTTACTTGGCATACTTAAAGCTTACCAAAGATTCAGTTGCATCTTGTTTGTTTGCGGCACGGAGGACAAAGAGTGAAGCAGGGACAGCAATTGAACTCGGTAGTGGGTGGGCACATGGTGTAGGCGGTACGAGAACATCTCCATTAAGGTGTGCAGCATGGCCCACGCATGGTTCTTAAACACAGTGGGCATCAGTTGGCCTTATAATCAGAATAGAAGTAGATTAGATCATGAATCCTCATAAATGATTACTGCCTAGACTCACTTAGAAATCCCTTGATGCCCAGCGACTCTATTTCTGTGTAGACCAAAAGTCTGGCATATGTTTCCAGTAGCGCCGCCGCCGGAACTTGGCCTTTGGTTTGGGCCTGCTTTAGCATCTGAGTTACGAAGCTGTGGATTAGCGACATTTTGCTGTGCACAGTCAGGCTGTCCAGCACCGTGACCGAGAAAGTTACGGCTGGTATTTGACCGCCATTCGGAGATTTGGAAGTGCCATTCAGAGCATCCAGCAGTAGGCCCATGGGTCGTCCAAAGTACTCCTGATTCGTGGAATATGCATTGCAGATGAGAATGATGCGGAAGTCGTTGCCCAGAGTCATGTTCATCATGGTGTTGGGCGTGACCAGGTGCTGCAGGAAGCTAATTAAATACACCAGTTAATGTTTAAACAAATAGTAGGGAAAATAGGACTTTACTCATAATGGTTTTTCAGCGCAATGGGCAGCGGTCGGGTGATGTTCATATTCTCCACTCGCGCCTTCTTCATCAGGTGGATCCACACACAAATGGGGGCCATGTGACGGACCATCGAGGATTTATTGATGTCCGGCAGCTTAAGGGGCTCCAGCTCGGGATAGAGGAGGTCAAACAACCTGAAGACGGGCAGGAAATTGGTGATCTAAGGGGAAAAGTCATTATAAGTGGTTTAGCTAGAACGGCAATTATTCTCCTACTGGATTCTTTTGAATGCTGCCCGAGATGAACTGCAGAAGGATCCACATCAGCTGGTCGCGTCCCTTGCGGAGCTCCAGCTTCGAAAGCTAATGGGATACAACATTAAATAAGAGATTGCCTTGCAAATACTAGATCATCCTACCTTTTCGTGCAGCGCCAACACAATGTGCATAAAGCTCACAAACTGGAAGAGCACAAAGTAGATGAGCTGTGAGGAGAGATGCAGCCACACCCACTCGTAGGGCGTTATTTGCTCATCGGAGGAGTTGAAGCCACTGCCCGCAGTGGCGTCATTCGCCTCGGTCATTTCCATGGCCTGGACAATCAGGTTGACCAGCTGCTCCTCCAGGGCATTGTAGCGCTGCTTCTGGTGCTTCTGCAGGTTCAGCATCTGCGAGACCATCTCCCGCGAGTAGGGCTGCTCCAGAACGTACCGCAGCAGCGGCTTCTGCTCCTCGAGAAGCTCTGGCTCGTAGGGCAGGCTGCCCTTGAAGTTAAACTTGAGCGTGTTGTGGTCCAGCCGCCAGGAGTTCATCATGTGATCCGCGTAGCCAAAGTGCTCCACGATGGGCAGCATACTGGCATGACCGATGATCGAGACCATTTGGGCCGTGGTGCGGAACTCCTCGACAAAGTCGGTCATCAGCCGGTTGAGCTTCCAGTGGTAGGGAAACGGACGCATAATCTCGTTGGCAATGAAGTAGGCGGGCAGCAGGCAGTTGTTGCGGTCGAAGATGAAGCGCAGGATGTCCTCGACGGCCAGCAGCTGCGGCATGTAGGTGACGTTGACGTTGAGGGGGAACCACTGCGCCTTGTCGCGGCACACCTTCATGATCTCGCGCACGCCCTTGTAGTCCACCTGGACGATCACGCGCTTGATCAGCCGGAAGCTCTCGATCCAGAAGGTCCGGTGCTCGAAGTCCAGTTTCTCGCACATCAGCACCTTGTCGCAGAGCATCCTGGCGGTGATGACGTGGGCGTCCACCAGCTTGGCCAGTGCCGCCATCAGCACCTTGATGTGGTAACCCGAGGCGCCGGCTGCTCGCAGCAGGTAGAGCCGGAGTACCTGCTCCCGGTTCTCCTGGGCCACGTTCCCGAAGGCGGTGACTGGAACAGATGATGGTTACTAAAAATGCAATCCTGGCTAGCGGTTCACTTACCCAAATCATTGGCGAAACTGGTGGCTCGCTCCTGCTCGCCATTCTGCTTGAAAACAATGACGCTCACGAACGCCTCGTCAATGGAGTCCACCTTCTGCAAAGAGGGGAATACGTTAATTGGGAAGAGGTTTTCCGGATTTTCCTGGTACGCACCAAAAACTCGTTGACGGTGTCTATAACTTGGGTTTGTATATCCATTTAAATTGTTTTTCGCATTTCCGACACCGCATAAACAAAATCGCGTCTCGTCTCTTCTTCTTCTCAGTGCTGACGCGGAGAAATACACTGAAAAACACAAATAGTAAAAATAGCTAACTAAAAATTAAAAAATTAAGATATTATGAAATTACTTAATAACTCATTTGGTTTTTGGTTCAACTAAATAATTTTAAATTATTTTTCTTCTTATAAAATAAAAACCTAACGCAAATCAAAATTATTTCCAGAAATCCCGCTAACACTTAGCTAGAAACAAGCAGATATAGCAGCACTTACCAACCGGCGAATGCACAAACTGGTCACACTGAGCGGCAGATAACAAACTAGTTGATTTATCCGTGGAATCGCACAAAAACAATGAAGAAAGTGCTGGTCACAGGTGGAACCGGCCTCGTAGGCAAGGCCCTGGAGGCGGTGATTAAGGAGCAGGCCCCAGCGGATGAGCAGTGGTACTTTGCCGGCTCCAAGGACGCGGATTTGACGTGAGTTAATAGGAAACACACCGATCCAAACAGAACTGTAAACAAAGGTCTCCCCAGAAATCTGGCAGCCACGCAGGCACTCTTCGCCCAGGAGAAGCCCACCCATGTCATCCACCTGGCCGCCATGGTAGGCGGTCTGTTCCACAACATGAACAACAACCTGGACTTTCTGGTGAGCTACGCAGCACATGAATCCGAACCGAAATCATAAATTTCCAATCCCCATTAGCGCAACAACCTGCTCATCAACGACAATGTCCTGCAAACGGCACACGAACAGGGCTGCAGCAAGGTCGTCTCCTGCTTGTCCACCTGCATTTTCCCGGACAAAACCAGCTACCCCATAGATGAGACCATGGTGCACAACGGGCCGCCGCACCCCTCCAACTATGGTTACTCCTACGCCAAGCGACTGATAGACGTGCAGAACCACGCCTACCACGATAAATACGGCCGGCTGTACAGCTCGGTGATTCCGTGCAACATTTTCGGTCCGCACGACAACTACAAGCCCGAGGTGAGCCACGTGATTCCGGGCATGATCAATCGGATGCACCAGCTAATCGCCGAGCAACCGGAAGTGCCGGAAAGCGAAAAGGTATTCACGGTCTTCGGCAGCGGCAAGCCACTGCGTCAGTTTGTCTACTCTCTGGATCTGGCCGAGCTGATGATCTGGGTGCTCCGCCACTACGACAGCGTGGAGCCCATCATCCTGAGCGTAGACGAAGCCCAGGAGGTGACCATCTTCGAGGTGGCCCAGGCCATTGCCAAGGCATTTAACTTTAAGGTGATTCCTTAAGATTTATAGGATATCCAAAGCCTAAACCTTGCTTATTCCAGGGAAAACTGGTCTGTGATACGACCAAAGCGGATGGTCAGTACAAGAAGACGGCGTCCAATGCCAAGCTGCGCTCCCTGCTGCCGGACTACGCATTTACAGACTTCGAAACGGCCATCGCAACGTCGGTGAAGTGGTACAAAGACAACTACGAACAGGCCAGAAAGTAATTCCATACGGCAGCCCCAACAAATGTAAATAGATGCCGTCTTTCCACAGAACTTTATGCACGTTTTATGTCCAACAAAATAACAATGATCGGTGTGGGAGCTCAGTCGGTCCAGGAGTCGCCGTATTGGTTCTTTCGGCCAGCGGGCTCACTTCGTGCTGGCTCCACGGGCCTCGGCTGAACGGCAGCTGGAGGCTCATAGGGCTTCGAGTAGGGACTCTGCTGGTGCTTCGAGTACTCCTCGCGGTTCCTCCGCCGCAGATCCTCGTACGACTGACCCGGTTTGGCCGGCTCCAAGGGCAGATCCGTGTCCAGCAACGAACTAGCTGCTGGAAGGGAAATGAAAGCTTAGAAACAGCTTAAAACCCAAGGGAATCTATGAGCTCACAGTCCAGAGTGGGCCGGTAGATGTCGTCCAGGCCGGACATAGTGGGACGCGACTCCGTGTCCAGGTTGAGGGCAGTGCTCCTCGCCGGCTGGAATGCCTCATCGCTGTACACGTCCGCCGACGACGAGCTGGGCGAGAAGGGGGCCAGGGTGAAGGCCCGGCCCAGGTTCTCGTCCGGCGTGATGGTGCTGATGACGCCGCCGCCCTGCCTTCGCTGACGCAGCAGCTCGCCCAGGTGGGAGTTGGGCAGCCGCATGATCTTCTCGGCACACTTCTGCTGGTAGCTGAACTTGCCCACAAAGTAGCCCAGGATGACGCCCATCACCACCTTGGGCACGGCGCCGTACTTGCCGTGTCCCTGGAGGTAGCCGTTCTTGACGCCAAAGTAGGCCAGCAGACCGAGTCCCGTGCCGAAGGGAAGACTCCGCTGGAAGAATGACTCTGTGTTGCACTCACGTAATGCCCTCACCTCCTCGGCGGAAAACTGGTAGTCGGCCTGAAAACGGTGTAAACAAAGCTGTAGCAGGAGTTCAAAGCCAATCAAGCACTCACCAGTGGGTGGGGGGCGTGCTGCGGAAGCTGTCGCGAGCCATCGTTCAGCGGGGAGTCCATGCTGATACAATTTAATCGGGGATTTGTGAAATGTTTAATGTATAACCGGCGAAGCCGATTGCCAACCCTGGTCGCCGGCGAAACAGCCCTGCCCTGCACTCTTAGTGATGGTCAATCCTAACGATTGTTTCGATAGTCCAAAAGTCTTTTAAATTCAAGTACCTTTTATTAATTTATTTTTAAAACCTAATGCCCTCTGCTCATTATGGACGCGTCGCGTTTGCATCCATTTACCGCTTAACGCGCCCAAATCCCATACAAAACTTGTAGGCGAGGGATGAGGAGGGGAGGGTGGAAATTTGTCGCGTTACAGGGCTGGAAAGTGAAATTTGTGGTATATTTAAGCAGTATTAACCAGGCATGAACATTTTCTGGACCCGAAACTGATAAGAGGCTGATAAGAAGCGGGAAATATTAAAACCATTTATTGTTGATATTTACATGAACTTAATTTCGTATAGATTGGTATTTGATATATGATATATGCCAAATGATCTGGCAATAGTTCAGAATTCCGAGGATGATCCAAGCGCATAAAGAGCAGTAGCAGTTCGTTTATCCAATGGAATGGCTCGGCTAGAAAGGATCGGAAGCGAAATATTGGTCGTTGCAGCGCAGCCACATGGGCTTCCCTGTCTTCATGATCTTGACGTTTGCTTCGCGTGCGCCATTCGTCCATTAAGGCGACCTCCTGGTTAGACCGTAGATGGCCATTCCATATTCAAATGACACACGTTGACAGGCGACTGCTGGAAAAGGGCACATCTCCCTCTTTCTTGCGCACAATGTTCTTGTAGGCATTTCTGCCCCGTATCAGATTCTGTTCAGTGACGTGCCGCCTCAGAAGCTACTGCTGTCGCGGGTCGTGTCAAAGAATTAATTAAATGACTGTTCAGATCTATATATATGAACGCCTTCTGCAGCAGATCCTTTTGCTTTCTGCCGTAATAAATGCTCAAGCAGCGTAACGTGGGATGTTGTTGCTTTCATCATTGCAGCAATTTTTCCACGCTGTTCAAATGCTGTTCTGCGATTACAATTATCAATAACAAATTATTTAAATCCATTGTTTACTTCAGCTCGCAAATGACAATAGCACAACAGCTGTTTTCAGACGCGTTTGCCAATGGAAACACCTCACGTCCGCCTATCGCGTTGCCAATCGAAAATACACAAAAATACCGAAAAAACCGCATAGTGGAAAAATGCCTTAATACTCACATCGACGAAAGCACGGCGGTACTCAGATGAGCTAAGAAAAAGTAAGGAAATAACCGATTTAATGGGAGAATTTCGATGAACGCTGTGTGCCAATAACAAATTAAAAATGGAAAGAAATACCCAAAAACCACTGTAAAAACGCCTGCAAGAGTTGGCAACAGCAAAATTAAAGCTTGGTGGTTACAGGTGTTCAACATTTTGTAATATTTCAAAATTGGCGCCAATTGATTAGTTTGCTTTTTGTCAGCCCTGCTGATTTACAATAATACCATGCTACATGCATTGCGGGTGAACTCTGAAAACTTTGGTCACACTACAAAGAATAATATTTCTCTACTAGTGAAACTGTCGCTCATATACGGTCCGCTCTCGTAACGATTTGATTAAAAGTTTGTCCTGATCCGAAGTTAAATAGATTTAAATTAAATAAAAATTTGCTTTCTCCCTATTTTATATGAACATATAAATTTAAAAAATAATTTAAAATTTAAACATATAATTTAACATATAATTTAAAAACTTAATAGATTTATTTATATAAAGCTAGCTTACAGCGTAAAACTATGAGCTAACTGAGAAGGCTTGAAGAGCACTAGCAACAAAGACTATCGGCTCGACTGTAAATTTTATTGAGACAATTTTCTTAAATGGTATGGATAAAAGATAAATCGCAAAATTTGTTGGAACTCTGCCATTTTGAAGAAAAACATTAAATATAAGTCATTTTAGAATTAATGATTTTGGCATTTTATCACAGGTTTAAATCTAAGCGTATGACGCCTTAAGGTTATCCGAGTATTGCCAAGTATTGCCTTATACTGTTTATCTTTGCTCGCCATTTGTGGCACCTAAATTGGTTCCTCGGCGACACCACCACGTATGGTGGACCATAGATAATTTTTGAAATGAATATAATTATTAATGTAACGAATCATTTGGCTTCGATGGTAATGGAAGTATTAAGGACGCACGCGCAAAGGTGCACCTTGTTTTTTGTCGGTGGTGTGGGGTGGTGATTTTGTCCTTCTGTCTCCACTCTTTATTCATTTCCACAAAAAATATCAACGACAAGAATTATATAGAGGAAGAATAATCGCAAACAGATACGCAGACAGGCAGAGCAAGTTTTTGGTTTTTTGGATGGCATCTGGTCCGGGTTCTGTTTCAGGATGCTTGGTGTGGTAATAATTATTAATTACAACCTTGCCGTAAAATTTTTTCGACATTTTCCAAAACACATGACTATGAGGACATGAGGATGCTTTCGATTAACGCGAATTAAATCAACAACAATAAATTTGGAGCAATTGTAGTTCTTCGCATCGAGCCCAATGCGGCTGGAGCTTGGCTGATGGCCGACACCGCCGAGGGCGTCTTCAGATTTTTTTTCGAGTTCGATAGGGCCGAGCCTTTTTTTTATATTGGTGGACGTACTGGGCCTGGGGGAACTGAGTCGCCTTCTAACATTCTTGGCGACTATGGCGGACGGGAAGAAGCCCAGAGTGCTTCCGGCGTCCTCCTTTAATCACAACCACAGTCCAGCACAGGGTCTGGATCTGGAGCTGGTCGAGGAGTTCGTTGCCGAGCAGTAGCTGAGCGCGTACTTCCTGGGCCAACATTTCAATGACGTAAAAGTAAAAAATATATCAAACTGTGCGCGCAATTATAAAAAAATATTTTTTCTGTCCCCGCAACTGCAGCACTGCTTTTTTTTACGCTACCTGATCACTGATCATGATGAAAGAATTTTGGCGTAAGAAAAAGCAGTGCTGCAGTTGCGTTGACAGGAAAAATATTTTTGATCCTTGATCATGATGCAAGAATTTTGCATCAGTGATCATGTGCGTTCAGCACAACTATAGTTATAACTGCCGTTGTCGGATTAAATCGGACTTGGATTTGAGACAGATCGTACAGAAAGTCAAACGAATTATGTTTTCGGATGGCTGACTGTCGACCGGCAGTTAATAAAAATAATAATTGGCACTTATCTGCTGGATCAATTCGGCTCGAATGTATCAAAAAATGAACGTGGGGGGCGTTGCAAGTGTTCGTCTATTGAAGGCAGCTTCGTCGGCGTTGCGGCTGTTGCACGTAGCCGGGTGGCAAGCTGTGGAAACACTTGACGATCGCGAAGCGCGAGAGAAATGAGAACACAATGGACTTTTCGGTAATAGCGCGGACCGGCCGGGCGATGTATTTCAATGCGGTTGACAATGAGAACTTATAAACTAATTGCTTTTAATATTGTTTGATGGGTTATGACTCGAATGTTCCTTTTATCTTAATTAAAAGACATATTGTGCGAATTAAAATTCGTCGCAATTGGAGGTCATCATTGAATATGGTTTCTTGCCTTGCATAAAATAATCTCATTCTTGTTTGGATATTAGTGACGAGTTCTTTAAAGGTTTTTTCCAAGATTTCGGTGATTGCATACAAAAAATTGGGAACAATTAAGTTCTGACGCATAATCAGAGCGGCTTCTTCGTATGCCAATAATTGGTTCTTTATGGTACTATGTGTGTAATTAATGTTCAATATAGCCAGCTCCGAAATTATTCTGATTTTATTCACAGTTATTCCGCGTCCTGTATTCCTCACGAACGTATCCAAAAATTGGTGGTTAATTATACCTGCTGAACGCATTGCGTCCTTCAGGTGTTTTTTATCCACAATGTGGGGAACGCTTACTATCGTTTTGAACCCAACATTGACTTTATTGTCGGTTACAAATGCGACTAATTTGGAATATTTGCCGTGGTGAATAATGGCGTCTATAGCATTATTGTAGTCCCTAGCCACATCAAGTGTTTTGGCTCCATGGGTCTTTAGTACCAGTTGAATTGAAATGATGTGTGACGAATTACCACACACATAAAAGTATGCCCGACCGTTATCCAATACTTCATCGTCTAACATTTCTAATCAGTGGCGGATCCAGGATTTTTTTGTGGGGGGTGATATCAGAACAATTTTTTTGTTGCATACTTTTTGAATACCAAAATTTCTTTTATTTTTCACCCGAGTGGGGGGTGATATATCACCCATATCACCCCCCGTGGATCCGCGCATGTTTCTAATGTTGTGTCGACGAAACCGTTAATTTGGTCGTTGAAAACCGCACGAATTAGCGCCACCTTTTTTTTCACTACGTACTCTTCACTTTTTCTTCACTTGTCACTGTACCGCTTGGCTTGGAATAAAGAGCTCTTGGAACGTTGGATAACACAAATGCCCTAAAAGATCTCGTGCATAAAGCCCCTTTTGCGGGCTATGTACGAGAAATGCTGGAATGCGCGGGAATTAAATAAATATGTATGGAAGTATACATGTAATATATATGTAATATATGGATGTAATATATGTGGAATATGTAATATGTATAATGTACAATATAAGATGTGGAGTATATAGGTAATCAAGATGGCGGAAAATTTTTATTTTAAATTTTGCCGGCGGGTATGTGTTGTGAATTTTCGATTTATTGTGGACTGTATTTGGATTTGGATTTTGAATTATGTATGCAAATATTTGTCACAGCGGATATACAATAAAAAAATCAGTATCAGTATTTGTGGGTCTAAATTGGCGGAACACTTAATTTTTCGGTTCCCTTTTTGTGGGAAATTAATTTGAATTTAATTTTGGAATTTAATTTATTTTTCACTGTTCACTGACTTTTCTTTCTCACTGTACGCTTGACTTTTTATTGCACACTTTAATTTGGATTAATATTTTGTAATTTCTTCGATTTAATTTTGGATGTATTTTTACTGGATGTACGGCCAAATGTGAATATGAAACTTGTACATCAATATGCACAAGAAAAGGATTTGGACAATTCCAATTGAAAATGGTAGAAAACATGAATGACGTTAAAATGACAATAAAAACATAACTTTCTAACATAACGTAAACTTTTCAAAGGAAAGAGTTCCGGAACGTTTCTATCACAACAAGACGGGGTATGCCAAGATTTGTTTAAACAAAGTAAGCTGATGTCATGTTGTAAACTAAAAAAATGTTTATATTTTTGTAGAAGTCAACATGCTTTTTTGTTCCCAAAATTTAATTAAAGTGTTGTCCTCAGAGTTCCTTTATTATTCGTTAGATAAATAGCTTAGTGTATGGAAAACCCCGATCCAGTCAACCAATAACCAAACTATCGGCGACATTGACTGGTCCACTGGCTTTTGAGATATACACCAAGTTTAAACTCGAATCAAGCTGAAAATCGTAGTCACCAATCAACACACAGAAAAACTTTTCAAAATTGGCCGTAGAACACGAAGACCTCGTGAGGGTTCGGAAGTTGCGCACCACTAGGGGGCTGCCACCTGTTTTTGAAATCAGCGGGGCCTGCCAACCCGATTTACATTATGACATTTTCGCTGTCAAGTAAAGTTACAGCTGTGTCGTCTGCTGGCCGCGATCCCGAGCCCGTTGTTGTAATTAACTGAAATTTGTACTTTTGGCAATGTTCTCCACCACCACACACTCCGTGGTAAGTCGCGCCCAACGGCCGCCCATTGATCCGCCCGCCTGACTGACTGCTCTCCTCTCAATCTCTCCATCTCCCACTCTCCACTTGGCCTGCTTGGAATCGGGGTGCCTCGGATGCGATGATAGCCCTACCTGTACCTCGGCAACTTTAGCAGAAAGCCGCACTACTACTCCGTGAATCGGACCAAGCTGCATGTAAGCGCCAATGCGACGCGCCTGTCCAAGTCCAAGTCCACCTCCGCGTCCAACCGGAGTCATGACCTCGTGCTGGACCTGAGGAACCTGCTCAGTCGCTCGGGCGCCAGCCTGCAGGGCATGGTGGAGAGGGCGGCACGACTGAACGGCATTCTCGACCGGCAGCTGGTCAACGAGGTGCTGGCCAAGGTGACCAGCATCCTGCCCGCCATGCGCGACGTCCGCGTCACGCTGGAGGAGCCGGCCACACAGTTCGGTCGTGTCCAGCTGCAAAATTATCAGTTCGAAGTTTCGCTAACCGGAGCAGCAGGTGCCCCGCCCACGGGCGCCAATGTGTACGTATGCCGAGTTTACCTTTGGAAGGTAATCCTCCAGTTAATCCCGGTTCGCTCTTTCAGCCAGGTGATTCCAACCACAACGCAAGGTCTTCTACGCCCGCTCTTCTCCCAGCAGCAACTGTGAGTGCACGGAACTAATTTACTAGCTATGGCTAAAGTTCAGTTCTCCCATACAGTAAACACATACGTGGCTTTAAGACGGATCGATCCATTGAGGCGGAGCAGAAGCGCAATCCCACAATGACTTCCCGGCTGAAGAATGCCCTGGCCAACTCACCGCAGCGGCTGGAGGGCGACACATCCATCCAGGCTGAGAAGCTGAGACGGTTGCTGGCCAAATCCGATGACCATGGATACAATAATTCTGTAGGATAACGCTACCTGTATATTTGTAAGCCTTACTGATGTTTTTCACTGCAGGAGAACCTGAAGATTGCCTTTGCCGAGGGCTACTTGGCCGCCGCCAACGCTGAAGATTCTCCTAAGTCCGGTAAAACTATGAAGTATCTTAAGGTAAGATTTCCAATTAGTTTCGCCTTAGTTCTCAGCAATTTTAAGACCGTAGAAGACCCTTGTCTTCTTCAGTGTTTTAAGTAATTCCTAGTAATTGTCACGCAGACTTTGCAGACTCTCGTCGTAATCGTCGTTTTTCTGGGCATATTCCTGAGCTTCTTCACCACCTCCAACGGATCCGTCTTTCGGTGAGCCTCCACGTCACTTTCCTTACCGCTCGTCTGATTAGTTATTCTTCCAGCAGCATCCAACTGGGCAATCAGGTCGAGGTGGATCCCGAGGAGATCAACGTCACCTTCGAAGATGTCAAGGGCTGCGACGAGGCCAAGCAGGAGCTGAAGGAGGTGGTCGAGTTCCTGAAGAGTCCCGAGAAGTTCTCGAATTTGGGCGGCAAGCTGCCAAAGGGAGTGCTCTTGGTTGGTCCCCCGGGAACGGGCAAAACTCTGCTGGCCCGTGCCGTCGCCGGTGAGGCCAAGGTTCCCTTCTTCCATGCCGCGGGACCGGAATTCGACGAAGTGCTCGTCGGTCAGGGTGCCAGGCGAGTGCGCGATTTGTTCAGTAAGTGGATAATCATAGCCCTGATTTTCCAAATTAACATAACTATTCCTTTGCAGAGGCAGCAAAGGCCCGTGCCCCTTGTGTGATCTTTATCGATGAAATCGACTCGGTGGGCGCCAAGCGAACCAACTCGGTGTTGCATCCCTATGCCAATCAGACCATCAATCAGCTGCTCTCCGAAATGGATGGCTTCCATCAGAACGCCGGCGTCATCGTTTTGGGAGCCACAAACCGCCGCGACGACTTAGATCAGGCTCTGCTGCGTCCCGGTCGCTTCGATGTGGAGGTCATGGTCTCCACGCCCGACTTTACAGGTCGCAAGGAGATTTTGGGACTATATCTGACAAAGATTTTGCACGACGAAATCGATCTGGACATGCTGGCGCGTGGCACCTCTGGTTTTACAGGAGCCGACCTGGAGAACATGATCAACCAGGCAGCATTGAGGTGAGAAATCACTCTCCCTAAAACATTTTCTATTCAATTTAATTATATTAACTTATAATTTCCGCAGGGCCGCCATCGACGGCGCCGAAACCGTGAGCATGAAGCATTTGGAGACGGCACGAGACAAAGTACTTATGGGACCCGAGCGAAAGGCTCGTTTGCCGGACGAGGAGGCCAACACCATAACCGCTTACCACGAGGGCGGCCACGCAATTGTGGCCTTCTACACAAAGGAGTCGCATCCGCTGCACAAGGTGACCATTATGCCCCGCGGACCCTCCCTCGGACACACCGCCTACATACCGGAGAAGGAGCGCTACCATGTCACAAAGGCGCAGCTGCTGGCCATGATGGACACGATGATGGGCGGCCGTGCGGCGGAGGAACTGGTCTTCGGAGCGGACAAGATCACATCGGGAGCCAGCAGCGATCTCAAGCAGGCCACCTCGATTGCCACGCACATGGTCAGGGATTGGGGTATGTCCGATAAGGTGGGTCTGCGCACCATTGAGGCGGCAAAGGGCCTGGGCACCGGCGACACCCTCGGCCCCAACACCATCGAGGCCGTGGACGCGGAGATCAAGCGCATCCTCAGCGACAGCTACGAACGGGCGAAGGCCATCCTGCGGAAACACACCAAGGAGCACAAGGCGCTCGCGGAGGCGCTGCTCAAGTACGAGACGCTGGATGCCGACGACATCAAGGCAATACTGAACGAGAGCCAGACGTAGTCCCCCTTCGGGTGGTGGATGGATTGAGGATCCAGTGGGAAGACCAAGTGGTCGTCCATCGGACATTCAGCTGAACTGCTAAATATTTTTTAGTTACGATATATAAAAAGAATGGATAAAGAGCCAAGCAAGAGCGAGACGCAGACGGACAGTTAAGAAATAAAATGTTACACATATTTAGTTATGTTTTCCATCATCCACTTTAGTATTAAATATTAGTTTGAGTAATAAATTGAATTGAAGTCAAACCAACTTGAATTGCGCGCCAATCGAAATATATGTAGTGTGGCCAGATTGCAGAAACTATAAGCAAAACAATAAAAAATGTATTTTAAAATGATTAGTTTGATTAAAAAAATCGTTTGAAGTTAACAAAGCTGGCAAAGAAAACAAAGAAGTTTAATGAATTGTATAATATTTAGTGGAACCCATTTTCCTTTGTGGAATCCATTTAGTTGAAAAGCTCAATGGGGCTCAGGTCTAGTATTTTCAATGGTATTTTTAAAGTACGTGGTTTATTTTAACGGTTGCAGCGCTGCCCTACTAATTGTCGAATTCCAATTCATGTTTTTTTTTGCGGAGTAAATTAAGTTAATATTCAGAGAAAATGTGCGACTACAAGATTTCGGAGCGGGCCTATACCAAGCTGATATTCCACGCGGCCAAGTATCCACACCAGGCGGTCAACGGACTGCTGCTGGCCGAGAAGACCTCGAAGGGCTCCCTGGTGGAAATCGTGGATGCGATTCCCCTTTTCCACCAGTGCCTCCATGTCACCCCCATGGCGGAGGTGGCCCTCATGCAGGTAATTGCCAATTGCCGGCTTTAAAAGAACCGACGAACTCGAATCCGGTCAGCAATGTTACGCAGAAGTACTTGGTGCCATACACATGTATTTAAAATATCCATTATCACGTACCCTTAACTAGGTCCCCGTTCTCTAGTTTGAGATAGGAACACCTTTTATGAAATCCAATCCAATGTACATAATTTATCTGACATACTTAATTTAAGTTCCATAAGGCTCAGTTGAAAAATGCAGGATATTTCCTTTAAGAACTCATTCTACGATAATTTATTTACCTTTATTTGAATTTCATCTTTTAATTACCTATTATTGACCATTTGTAGTAACCTTCTCCTATAAATATTGATCCAAGAATACCTACGTATACTTTCTTGATTTTAAATGTACCTTGTACCCCACGATGCTAAAACAATTGTATGACTACAAATTATGATATCAACTTAAGTAAACTATTTCCACTATTCACCTATCGAGTTAGCTACTACCCAGGTAAACGAAAATCCCGAAAATATTAAGCAAAATGTAGATTAGCAATTTTTTATTTTTTAAAATAAATATTTAAATTACCTTTCCACTCTCCCCTTCAGATTGATGCGTACGCCGAACGCGAGGGACTGGTGATCGGCGGCTACTACACTGCGCCGGAGAACTTCTACGACAATCAGGTGGACAAGACGCCGGCCGCCAAGATTGCGGACAAGATCCAGGAGAACTTCAAGAACGCCTGCTTTGCGGTGGTGGACAACAAGCTGATGACGCTGCAGCACGATCGTGCCGCCGTGCAGGTCTACAGCTGCGCCGGGGACTCCGGATCCCGGTGGACGAAGGCCAAGTACACGCTGTCGCAGTCGTCGCAAACCTTGGAGGGCGTATCGCTGCTGTTGAAGCGCGGAGCCATGCGCGATTTGGTGGACTTTGATAACCATCTGGACAACCCGGAGAACGACTGGACCAACGACTTCCTGAACCAGTCGCTCAACGACCTGCAGAAACTGTACTAGTCGCCCGTTTTTAACGTACGTTTGTTTTAGTCTAGCAAATTCGCATTCGAGGGAACACGCCGGAATTTCAACCTTGCAATTTAATTTATTGTAATTACATTTGGATTTCAGTAATCTTTAGAATAATGCATATAAGTTAAATAACATTCAACTAATTAATAAATAATCAATTCTTTCATCATGTATGAGTCGAATGTTGTCCGCAGTCCGTGTCCGTCCGTTGGTGTATGTAATATCCTTTTGTGAGTCATGTTCCGTTCTGTGTTTTTTGTGTTGAGTAAACCTAAGCGCGTTACAATTATCGTTAATAAATACAGATGAATAATATGTATATAATTTTGCTCTTGGTTTGTCTGGCTTTTGTAAATTGAAATATTTTACAATAATATTGTAATATCGCGATTGCTGATTATACATAGGTATACATAATACGTACTTATGTGGATATATCGGAGATCGAAAGTATCGCAAAAACGTTTATTCATATAATTTCAGTGTATTGTATATTTCCATATTATCTGATCGAACGCATAACGAACTCTTTACACCGTACACTAAATGTATGGGGGATTGGGTCGGGGATAACGGATCTCGGATCTCCAACTGGATGCCATCCTGCGCACTTTACTCGTATTTGATTTGCCATTTATTTGCTTTATGCTTCTTTAGTTCTGTATATGGGGAGTATGCTCTTGTGTCGTGTATAATATCATTTGCAGTGTTGTTTAATGTCTTTGATGGGTAGTTTTCACCCCGATGTCCGCTGGAAGGGATGGGCTGGTGTGGGTGTGGTCGTGGACATGGCATGGGAATCTGTTCTACGTGGGCGCCTTTTGATTATATCCTAGCTATACAAGTGCGCCTGAACACGCAAGCATAATCGGTATGTAAGAGTATGAGGCATTTCTTGCTCGGACTCTGACTCTGTTCACATCGTGATATATCTGGGTTGGTGTGTCTTGTGTTCCGTCATCACATGCTATGTTAGTTGATCTATAAGAATGCAATAGAGAAGTTGAGGATCAGCGAGAAGTCGGGTGGGAGTGCAGAGTGAAGAACACCCAACGGGAAAATGGTTTGCAATTTGGAAAGGTCTCAAAATGTACGATTTTACACGGGCGTGTGCAACTATCTTTGTGGTGCGGTAATGTGATGTTATGTGTGTGTCGTGGGTGCAGCGGGATCGGGACGTTTCTGTGTGTGCTTGGGTAGATATTGGTATCTAGAGTGGGCCTCCTCTGATATTTACCATTCCCGCGGACAGAGAGTTGATGGCATCTTCCACCGTCGGCTTGTGTCGATCGATTTTAGATGAGTTTATGGGCGAGAAGTTGTCTACGATTGCAAGCGTGAACGAATACACATATACAGATAGATATAGAAACACAAAAAGCGATTTCAAAGCAAATCTCAAGTGCCAATTACCGAGATCACCACTCGAACTGGAGTCCGTAAAACTGGGTGTGCCCTCTGTCCATGTGGGAGTGGAGCCCTCACCTGAAGCGGGCGGTGTCCAGGCCAATCCGCCGCGGGAACCGTACTGGCTGCTCGAAGAGGTGTCCACCGCTAGCAATGTGTCCAGATGAACTTCAGAGACGCTGGAAATAAAATTGTTTTGGTTAAGAGAAATATGGTTAAATTATGGTTATTAATTCAAAGGTTAAGAGGTTTAAAATTAAAAAGCCTTAGCTCTAAGAATAAAAGTTAATTTAAATCTAGGTTGTATTAAACAACAGAATTTTCTTATGAAACTCCACCAAGGAAATAGTTTGATTTTAGTTCCGTTTTCTCGTCCGTTTGTTAAATTTAAAGTAAGGTTAAAACCTTAAAATCGTATTGGAAACCAGAGTTTTAACCCTACTTTAAATTTAACAGGCGGACGAGAAAACTGACCTTAAAAGGTTAAAAGGAGGTTAAAAACAAGAGAGAACGCTATAATCGAGTGCCTCGACTATTAGATACCCGTTACTCAGCTAAACAACTTAATAGAAATATGCCTCCTTTTTTGTTTTTCGAAGCTGGAATTAGCTCCCGTTTTTTACCCAGGAAACTCCACGTGGAGGCCTTCAAAACTTTCAAATCTGCCTAGCACATCTTCCGTCTCCTCTAGCGCAGGTGAATGCACTTGTGAAAAACGAATACGAGCAAAAAGAGACAAAATGCGCGCCCTTTTCAAATAATTTAAAATTTGCAATAACATATTGTGAATTAGTGTGACCACAGAAAAAAAGGACAAAAAGTTCAAATTAACCATCTGAATAGATGGCGCTATTGTATATTGAATTGAGCCATCTACCCCAAGATATTGGTACTACTGGCCATGAAAGGCGGAAATGTAGGCGCTAGACAGGTTTAAGCGTTAAATGGGTTTTGCGGGCGTTAAAGTGGGCGTGGCAAACTTTTACTTGGCCAATCGATATGTATTGACGAAACAAATACATATCAGTTACTATTTTCATAATAGCTTCAAAACTGTAAGCGTAGAAGGGGTTGGGGGGGTTTGGGGGGGGGGTGGCCCCTTTTGAAATAAACTTGCGCTGCGTAGGAACTCCCAGAATCTGCATGCAAAATGCCAATCTTCTAGCTTTTATAGTTTCCGAGATCTCAGCGTTCATACGGACAGACGGACAGACAGACAGACGGACAGACGGACAGACGGACATGGCTAGATCGACTCGGCTAGTGATCCTGATCAAGAATATATTTTATAACTTTATGGGGTCGGAAACGCTTCCTTCTACCTGTTACATACTTTTGCACGAATACACATATACCCTTTTACTCTACGAGTAACGGGTATAATTAAAAGGCCATAGCTCTAAAAATAAAAGTTAATTTAAATCTAGGTTGTATTAAACAACAGGATTTTCTTATGAAACTCCACCGAGGAAAAAATTTAATTTTACTATTTACAAAATAATCAACAGAAAAGTATTATTTAGTAAAAGCTTATTTCTCAATGTCGTGTTAAGGTTATAGCTATCTGTTAGTTAAATTACATTGTTGGGTAAAGCTTAGTATTTTCTTCAATTGAAAGCAAACGAAACGAAAATTTCTTGAACAACATTTTGTATGGAGATTGTCAGGCTTAAGACAAATTCGTTTTCTCAATGTGAGGATAATTTACAAAACTGGCAAATTTAACTAGAACATTGCCCTTCCGTTAGATAAAACCTAACATGATATTGACAATCCTAGTACCTCCAAGACATCTTACCTCACGATGTCCTCCTTGTAAGAGCCTCGATAGGCGGGTCCAATGTTCATCTTGCGATCCAGGTAGTAGGACTGCTGCTGCTGCTGCGACTGCTGGTGGTGGTGGTGATGATGATGGGACCGGCGCCCTATCGACGAGGTGCTGTTCTTGTTCGAGCTGTCCTCGGAGATGTCGTCAAAGGCGGGGGGAGGAGTCGAGCTGCATGAGGGCGTTGTGCCTAGCGATACAATGATCAGAGCAAAATATACAACGGAATGAGTACAGATATCGATATAGTTTTTGGGGTTATGAGCTTGTGTGATGGTTTGGGTTAAGCGAGGTGCAAGCGAGAAGCTACTCCCGTCCTGGTCCGCGTCCCGTCGATCCCTGGGTGCCCTCGCTCTCCGGGATCGTGGAGGGCGCTGCCTTGGGCGCCCGCCTCTTGGCCCGTCTCGCCGGCTGTGAGGGAGGTTTCTCCGCCAGCTCTACTTCATCCAGGGGATCGGTGAGCTTGGGCAGTGGCCTCTTGGGGCGATGCGTCGCCTCCAGCTCCCGTTTCACCTCCAGAAACGCACTGACCGACTGCAGCAGATTGTCCTCCTCCGGCTGGTTCTCACAATCATCGCCACCGAGCGCCAAGTCCACGTAGTGAAAGTAGCGCTTCCGCCTCTGCTGCCGCTCCAGCTTCTCCTGAATCCCGCGCCTGGGCGAACGCTGGCTGGGAATACTGCCCGAGGATCGGGATCGTCCGGTTCGATAGCTCTCCGCTCTGATCGGCGGAAAGTTCCGGACAATGGAGCCCACCGACGAGCGTTCGCTGCGGGCCACAAAGCTGTTTTGCCGCTGGAAGATGTCCACGTGGTTGAGCAGCCTCGGCTGCTGGCGCCGGAAACTGCTCTCCGATCGAGCCGTGGAGTAGGCGGAGTGCATCGAATCCCGGCGCCGCAGCGAGGAGCTCCTCAGTAGAGCAACCACAGGCAACTCTGGAGCAGAGGGAGCAGATGGAATACCACTGTTGGGGGCATCAAAGAGGTCGTGCAGCTCCAGCCAATCCTGGACATTGCTGGGCGAACGACGATCTCCGAAGCGCGGCCTGCCCTCGTTCGCTGGCACCTGCAGGGTGTGAGTGGTGTGTGCTGGTGCCGGGTTGGGATTAGTGGTTCTGTGCGGTTCTGTACCTGGTGTCGTCCGATCCTGGGCATCGCGGCGCCTGGGGGAGCCACGCGGTGGCACTGGCGGAGGCACCCGCGTCTTCAGATTACTGGCCGCCGGAGTCCGCTGCTTGACGGGCGGAGGTGCCCGCTCACTGGTGCCACTGCCGCTGGCTGGACCGAGGGCACTAGCTCCTCCTCCTCCGGCGCCTCCTCCTCCTGCCGCTCCCGCTGGCGTTGGCTCGGTGGTGGGCGGCTTGGCTGGCTGGTGAATCTTGCCACTACTGTGCGAGTGGGAGGTGTGAACCGCTGGGGATAGGAAGGATAAGCATTAGCATACACACAAAAAAAGCATGTTACCGTAAAATCGATATGGCCATGTAAAACCCATATCGTTTTTACATGAAATACTCTTTTTGACCAGGTTAAATTTACCTGGCCCCATATCAAATTAAAATTGATCTTAAATAATGTAAAATTTACCTACGTTTCATATCGATTTTTTTGGGTGTAATAAGTAAATAAGTGAAGTATGAATAAAAAAGAAGCGCGAATTCATCAGCTTAAATCATTGAATCTGAAGAATTCGCGTCTTGTTTTTATGATTTTAATGATATAGGAACGTCGTTGCTCTTAATTATAATTATATTTTCAGGTATCGCAACTTACGCCTCGTGGCCACCTCGTTGTCGCTGTCGATGGAGCGCTGAATGGCCTTCGAAAGACTTTTTCTCTTCGAAGGCGAATGTTTAAGCGCTGGAAAAATCAAGCAAAACCATTTATTAGTTAAGGGTCGCTTTAATAAGATTAAAAATTAAGATTCAAAAAGCATAGCACTTTGAAAGCAACTATGCGAAGCCGAGAGCAATACGGTTGCCGGGATGCCAAGGAGGCCAGGATTGTGAGGTCAACTAACGTGAGATTGAGAGGCATGCTTTGGCGTCCGTTTCGAAATCATATAAAACCAAGTGGTGAATACAAAACATCGTTAATAAACTCTATAAAATACTCGTTAGGAAAGGTGTAAGTAAAACTCAAGTGAGAGATAATCAAAATTTTAAAGACATCGACCATTAGTTTTTGTTTACCTATATAGCTGGTTACCAAGGTACGAAATTTTCTGTGATTCCCTTTGATCTCTGGGAGATCCACTATATGCGTACGTAAGTGTGGGGTGAATGCATTCGAGACATGGTCAAAAAGAAAGCAGAGAACAGAGCGGTTTGTTGGTGGATATTGATATTCGATATTGATGTCGAGAGATCGCTTCGGATCGGCGTCTACTCAGGCCAAGTGTACCATATTGCATTTTTGCAGCACATCAATCGATTAACCAAAATTAGCAAGCTACGAGTGTCTAAATGGTGTTCGGTGTGTGAATGTGAATGGTGTGTATATTTTGTGTTTTTGGCTAAGAGTCTACTCAAAAATGTCTGGAACCGGAAGTGCTTGCATAACTCGGCCAACTGCACACAAAAATGCCTTACAGTACGAGTACTTAGCCCGACTTCCACGACCGGTCCACTTACGGGATGGTATCTTGCGGAACACGGTCTTGGCCATGAAGTTTTGGAATCTTTGAGCATAGAACGAGGGTCTGCAGACCGATACGGTTTCCTAGAAGAGAATGAGTTATAGTTAAGATTAGTTGGGGATGGAATTTAGAATTTAGGAAGACCCAAAAACTGTTATGCAGGGACAATTTCTCAATGTCATGTTTCTTGTGCTCTTGAGTTAATTAGCATTTTCGGAAACATTGAGAAAAACCATTTTCTGTTTCGAACAATTTAACCTGCTGTTAATTATCTCTGACAGATAAATAACTACAACCTTATCCTGACATTGAGAAATCGGAACTCAATAATAGATGTTTTAAGATACAAAATCCTAGGAATATAAAATTCCCTAAGCCTTATCTTCCTCACCCCATCGTGTATGATGCTTTTGAATGTGTGCTCCAGTTTCTTCTTTAGCCTGTAGGACTGCAGAATATCGATAATGCCGATATAGAGCAGCAGGCGTTCGCCTTTCTCACTCCTCGCTGGAATTCCACCAGGTCTGCAAAGTGATATCGTTAGATTTTTGGAAAATGTAGATATAGAAAACACTCACGGTACATCCTCCTCGTCGTCTATGGGCTCGCTCTCCGCCTGAATGCTCTCCATGGCCGTGGAATGGGCCACCAGTCGCTGTCGATTCACGGACCTGTACGCCGCACTGGGTTAGCTCTTTAGATTGCTCTGAGGGGTTAACTAAAGCTACCGGGATACTCACTTATTTCTACTGATGCCCGTGGCCGCATCCCGATCCTTGCCATCGCCATCCAGTCCGTCCAGCGGATCGTCCACATCCACGTCGGAGTCCTCGGCCAGTGGAGCTCTCAGTGGTTTCCTCTGCTCACTCTGCTTCTCCTTCATCGCCACGTCCAGATTATGGACACCGAGGAGCAGGGAGTAGTCCATGATCTTGAAGGACTCCAGCACCGTGCAGTCGCGCTGAATGGTCTTTATCAGTGCGGAGTAGGTCTCGGCCTCCAGGAATATGCCGTTCGGATGCTGCTCCATGAAGTCGAGGTCCTTGTACGTGGGTGACTTCTTCGAGCGCTCCGCCTTGTTGGCCTTGCGCTTGAACGTGGAGCCCTTGAGGTCGTATTTTAAGTGCATCCTCACGGACGAGGGCAGCAGATTGTTCATGACCACCAGGCGAATATTTTTGGCATTGCTCGTCTGCAGGCAGTACAATCCGAAGAACTTTGGCAATAGCGTGCGCGGATTTTGATTTAGATTCATATAGTAACTGAAAATGTGATTATGGATTGTAGTCTTTTTTCAACGGAGGAAATGTTAAGGGTCACCTACCCAGGCAGTAGTTTCTGTAAGAATTCGCCCTCTTTGTGTTGCACCGTCTTGATGATGAACTCGTCGTCGGTTGTCAGGTAGAATATAGAGCCGGAAGCACCAGGATTGGACAGTTCCCTCAACGGGGACGTGCACATGGACATCTGTAAGAGTTATCTGTCAGATTCTTGCGGCTTATAACAAACATATTATCAATTACCATAAAATCATCTGGCTGGATGCCAAAAAGATCCCGAAAGTAACGAAAAGCAATGGGCGCGTAGATCTTGTATCGGAACTCGCTGTAGTGGTGGGCAGGTGTAAGGCTAGAACCCTCTGGCGGAAAGGTGATGCTCTCGATTTCCCAGAAGTCCATCATAAGTAGATCACGCTTCGGCTTGGAGGCTAGACTGCCGACCTGTAAATATAGTTAAAGGGATTTTAGAGCAATAATCATTTTAAATAAATTAACAATTGCGAATATTTATTGGATAAACATAAAGATAGAAGATACCAGCTATCTGAAATCACTTGAAAATCATAAAAACTAATTTTAAAATTAAAACAATCTGATAGAAAAATAAGAATATATATCTCCAAATAAATCGAAATCTTACTGTGTGCTGGATTCCCAGTTGAATGGAGCCCATGATCTGCGACGTCTGGATCTTCTTGTACGTAATCTCGCCGCCCTCGCCGACGCGTCTGTGGCCAATCTTGCGCTCCTTGTCCGCCTTGCTGGCCGCGCGGTTCGGTCGGTTGCCCAGCTGTTCGATGAGTGAGATGGGGGGTGGGTAAGTAATTGACCCGATTAGTTTTGAATTGAAGTGACCTCGAGGCCAAGGCGGATGTACTTACGTCGGGCGATGAGTTTCCCACATGGTCGTTGGAGGCTAAGGAAAGACGGGTGGACAGAGTTTATTATTAGGAGGAGTCATGTTTAATTCAGGCCATGACGCAGTCGCCTGGTCAATCACCGAAACTTGAACTTGGACAGGCGACTGGACAACTTTCTTTTGTTATCAATCCGAAAATATAAATATGAACCGATGGAAAAGCGGGGGTGGCTTCCCATTCACATTCACGCTTTTCCCTTCACGCGAGACACATGCGCCAGGGGCACTTCCATTCGCCAGTCATTGATTTTTTTTTTTTTTCAACGCTGGGGAAAATGAGGTGACGGTGGTCGACGGGTTCGACTGTGGATAATAGTTACCATTGCTGGGCTCCCCCAGTTTGGCCTGCGACGCGGAGGAGCTGTCCATGTCGATGGTGTTGATGGTGTCGCCATCTCCGGAGGCCATCGTGCTCCTCCAGGTGTCCTGTTCGTAACTCTTCCGTCTCTTCCGTCGAGGGCTCCACTAGGACATGCTTCTTGGCTGGTTTATTTGGTCTATTCGAGGGGTGACTTCACGTTTTCCGATCTTCGGGGATTATCCAATCAATCAAAACTAACTGAGGGGCAGGAACCTTGGCTTTCGTCTGGCGTCAACGGTTTCGCTTGTCTACGATGATGGTGATGTTGATGGCTCCTCTGCCACTGCTGTCATTTTCACTGCATACTCATAGGCACACTGGAAGGCCTGGAAGGTCGGCCGTTCTGGAAGGGTGTGCGCAGGAACGCGCGCAGGGTTGCATTCACAGGGAGTCTAAAGTGCGGAGCTTCCGCAGTATTTTTAGATCCGCGAAGAATTTGAAATATTTGTGAATTTTTGTAATTTTGTATTTACAATGTCTTAATGATTTTGTCTTCATAAATTATTATTTAATTTTTATATTTTATTATACAAACTTACTCTCAGATCAAATTATGATTCACGGTTTTCTTAAATCACAAAAATACGGACACTATAGCAGATTTTTAGGAAATATCTCCAATGGATGGCTGTCCTTCAAAGTTCGTATTGAATGTTTGACCCGTTTACAATCACCGTGAATGCAAGAGAATTTTCATCCAATTTTAAATAACTATGCTCTATTTGATTTTACCCACATTAATTTTGGAAAATGTTAAACTTATAAATCGTGCTATTATTTATTAATTAGTTGTTTTGAATTTAATCTCGAATTAATAATTTTACAATAAATATACATTTTTTAATTTTTTTGAAGCAAAGGAAAACAACGACGAAGGCGGTTGGTTTAATGCACTTTTCTTTTCGGTTTTTATTAGCGTTTCCGTACTCATTTAGATCTATACATCATATATAACTATAATATATATTTTATTTATTTGGTAAATATATGAATACAAGAATTTCTTGTTATGTGTTACTGTTGTCGTATTAGTTTTTATGGGTTCGTTTGCTTACGCATTGTGGTGTTTGTTTCTGTTTTGTGTTTCATTATCCTTACAATTACATGCATGTACAAAATAAGCGCTTTTTTTAAAAATACCGCAAAAAATTACGTTTATCCGTTAAAAGTCTATTAAAAATTAAAGAGTATCAAAGTTTCTAGTCCAAACTTAAAAACAAATATAGCCTACATTGAAGGACACTACCAAACTAACTGCTTAGAGCTAAGGATGCTATGGACATGACTACGGCGACCGTTGTCCACTTGCGTTGTATAGTTGAGGCCTTATCTGGAAGGTAGAAAAATATTGCAAAATCAGTACATATTATTTATTAATTAAATAATTCTAAGAATTATTTCTCGATTTAACCGAAACTTAACCTCGAGTTAGCTAGAGTCTTTATAACTGGGTAAAGTACCAGCAAAGGGAAATGTTATCATTAAATCGTACCTGTACTTACCATAGAATATAGTCTCCCGGCGCTTGGTGTAGTTGGTGCCAACCAGGTAGAAAGCACAGGTGATCGGGGTGGGGGACTCGAGCTGATCTCTAGGAATGCGGGTGCGTACGGTCATGCTGTAGAGGCCACTGGGGTCCTGGTCCAACTGCGTCAGTACCGAATCCAGTGTGTGGGTGTCAAACCTGCAAAGGGCAGTGATTGAATCCTGGTACTATTCAATTTCACCGGCCACAAAAGCTAGGCTCATCTTACATGACCGACACTTTGGGTTGCGGAAATACGTGCTGGACCACACACATAATGTCCACCTCCATACGCGAGCCGCTCATCCGCGCTTCCAGCATGAAATCCGACTCAGGAACTGTCGGCATTGGACGGTGGTGCAGAGTGGTGCAGAGTGGAAGAGTGTGTGGCAGAGCCGGCAGACAGGAGCCAAAAAAACACAAAGTCGTGAGAATTAATCAAGTGTCAAACTAAACAACGAATGCAAAACAACACAAAACAAAACAGTGTCCCAAAGAAAAGCACAAAACAGCACAAACAAGCCATGGTTCCGGACACCGCAGAGACTGCCACCTGACACGCATGCAAATATGAAAGCGAATCACACGTGCCACACAGACGGGGCCCCACACCTGCACCGGAAGAAAAAAGGGTCAGCCCGCAGACTGGCAAGGATTGAACTTAATTGAGCTCTCATAAACCTAATAAAATACACTTGGAATAAGAACACTTAAAAGCACTTCAGAGAAAATTCTTATTCCTATCTAAATGTAAATATTGAGCAGGTTAAGTTTCCTATCAAATCCTATAGCTTTATAAACCTGTTGGGTTAACACATATTAATTAGAACTTATAAAAGACATGGGACTATTTTTCACAGAAAATTCCCATTTAAAAAAAATTGATTCTTAAACTATCATATGTTCAATAAAAAAAAAAGGCATAATTTATCAATTTTAACAGATTTTTTACATTAACAAAACGTTCCCAGTTTTAAATACAAAATTTAACTGAATTACCCTTTTCTCACTTGAAGCTTCTTAAATAAATATTGCTGACGCATTGGGACAGATTGAAAAAACCCGATTAGGCTAACTGATATTAATTAGAATTTATAAATGACATGGACGTTTTTCTTGCAGTCCTAACAAACCAAAAAAGGCCCATTGCTAGGGTCCACAAAAGGCTAATGGGGAAAAATAATAAAAGGAGAGCGTATTAAGGTAAGGCTTTCTTGGCTTTTGCAAATGGCTTTAAAGTACATAAATCATAATTTTGTCTCCCTGTGTAAACACCGACCCAAACACCTATGCAAACACAAGGGGGCCGAATCAAGATGGGGGGAGGTGGGCAGGTGGGCGGGCAGGTCACCCGCCAGAACCACCACCTTAGACCTCTTACCAACCCCCATCCCCCACCGCACATCTTTCGACGCCGATCCTTTTCCTTTTCGCTGTGGTCGTGACACCCACCGATTATTTGCAAGCGGGCACTCCGCTTATCCGTCGACTCAAAGGTCTGCACCGCACAGGTATACTCCCCCGTCATGTTCCAGTCGGGATTCTTTATCGATATAACACCGGGACTGCCTTTCATACTGAAAATCTTGGTGTCTATCTTCGACTTCATGAAGCCCTGCAAGTCGCAAGAATAAGACAAAGACACGGCGCAATGTTCGATTAATCTTAATTAATTGGCGACAGCGACCCCGGATGACTCACCATGGCGAACCCCTTGACCGAGGGTATCCATTGGTAGATGGAGTGGTTGTTGAACAGCCACTTCAGAACGAATCCCTGCTCGCCTGGCCCGATCTCCACCTCGCAGTCGAGGACCAGAGGATCGGGTTCGTGGTCGCGGAAGAGCGTGTAGGTGCGTGGCACCCGCAGGTTGGTGATGCGCACCGAATGGGTAACTGGGGGTTAAGTTGGGGTTAAACTTGTAGCGTTTTTTTGGAGTTTTTTAGAAGCAGATCTCACCCGAGAGTAACGTCAGCACGGCTAAAAGCGTAGCACACAGCCCACGCCCCCGCCAGCCCGCCATTAGGCTGACTACTTTGCGACCTGGTCCACGGCTTTCTCTCCTGGACAATCCAGCTTCAGCTCCAGTTGCTCCTGATCCTGATCCTTCCGTTCGTTGTGTGTGTGTGTGGCAGTTAATACTTGTTTGGTTGGACGTTAATACTTATCGTTGCGTACTTTGCTTTCGCAAACTTTTAAATGAATAATTGGGGGTATTTAATTTCGGTTGCACTCATTATCACCAATCTCATCACAGCAGCAGCAGCGGAAGCAGGGGGATGGGATGCTTTTTCCTGGGGATACGGGCACTGACTGGTGGAAAACTTTTCTCGGCCCGCTGAACTCAGCACCTCAGCCGCAGCAGCTCCTTGCAGGACATCTCGGTCTGCAAGTCGCAACTATTGCAATCTCCCTTTATGGCCCGGGCCATTTAAAGTTTTGCCCACATAGACCACTTTTTGTTAGAGAAAAATCGACTTTTTGCAGCCCACATAGGTACATATCCTATAACCGTGTGACTGAGATTGCGATAGTGTGTGCACTAGTGTGTGCCTGTGTGCGATTGGAGTCCGCGGGGGCGAACTGTGCCAAAAAAGGAGTTCGTACTCTCGGCGTAGCGCGTGAGTTCTGCTGGCGACTACGGATACCAATAGTTGGAGTTGGTATCTTCCATGGCACACACTGTTGTCGTTGTTGTGGCCGCTTCCAGGCGCAGCTTTTAATGTTTTAACACTGGAAAACAACGGAGAGTCGAGCTTTTATTTGGTAGAGCTGCGCTCGATGGCGTCCTATGGCCCAAGAGCTTCGTCCTGCGCCAAATCAGCTGAGCGACGAGCAATGCGCAGGCGCTAAAGCGGAACTGATTTCCAGGCAGGGGTGCCATATCATATTTTAACTGCGCGCTACATTCAAATTGTTTAAATTTTTGATTTATAAAATTGATATGATATTTTCAATTTCTCACTATAAGCACCTCAATTATTATTATTTTAATTTAGTTTAAACTGCAAATAAGATTAAATAAAATTTTAATGTTTGTTCCAACACAAACTGAAGATTAAGGATTAACAGAAACACTTTCTAAAACTTATCTTATCTGTATCTTAAGTACTTACCACTCAAATATAGCAGCTCCAATTCCTAATTGCAATGCAAACTATTGTTATGTTGTTGTTTATTCAATTTTCAATAACATCAGCAAAATTCTTAGTCTAATTTATAGTTAATAGTGTTCCTCTTGCTTGGATGTGTTACAGTTACACGCACACACACGCACACTTACACATGATTAGTACTTGCATGATAGATATAGATAGGTCCAGAGTCCAGACATCCGGATCTCTAGAATTCGCGTTAAAAGTATGCTATAAATGTGCAATGCATCAGATTTACATAGATATACGCGCCGATATATGTTTAGTACGTAAGTGGACTGGCAACTATAGCGTTGGCTTTGATTTGGTCGCATTTAAAAACTCGTGTGCTGGCTCCTACATCCTACAGATACACCAACTGATCACTACTTGCTGCTCGGATTTCTGGATTTTCGGGGATGAGTGGTGGTGGGGGAGTGGGGGAGGTGAAGTGTTAAAACGTGCTTAGATCAAAACTGAAATCACCATTCAATGGACTGTACACAAGAGAATCGACACCTAGTCGCTGGCCTCCTCCTGGCTGGCACTGCGATGCAGGTGGTGGCCAATCAGGGTCTCGATGCGGAAGTCCTTGGCGCTGCTCTGCTTGCTGGTCCTCAGCATTAGGGGCTCACTCTCGAAACGTGTCCTCGGACTGGTTCTGTCCGCCGCCTCTGCACTCTCGAAGATCAGCACCTCGGGCGGCGCATCCAGGCGATTGGTGCAGGCACTGTCCACCGAATCCGAGATATGTGAATCCTCCTGCTCATTGCCGCTCTCCACGTCGATCTTGTCCTCGCAGGAGTCGTCGTCGCCCTCCGCCTCCGCATCCGCATCGGCCTCTGTGTCCGCATCGTCGTTGTACACATTGAGATCCATGTAGCCACCGCTTGAAAGTCTATCTGCGTAATCCCTGTGGCTGGAAATACCCGCTGCACTGGCCACAGTCGCCGCATCGAAGGCGTAGGGACTTTTGTACTTGGTGGCTCTGCTGCCCTCAGACTGACCAACACTACCTCCTCCTCCAGTGCCACTGCTGTGAGGCAGTGCATCCAGAGCATCCACTCCTCGACCGCGATTGATGAAGGGCAGCCGGTCGAACTTGTCACCCGACTGACTTCCCTGGTAAAAGGATGCCTCCGCGTTGGCAAAGAAGTTAAACTTCTTGTCCGCCCTTAGAGCGGAATCAAAGACATCCGCCGGGTTGTGAACCACATCGAAATCCCGGCTGCCATTGAAATTGGGCACATTAAAGTGCACCGGAACGAGGGGCACAGGCTTGCGGATCCAAAACGGAGACAGCGTGCCAAAGACCGCCGGAAAGGAGAAGCGCTGCATGGTGGGAGCTCGTTTGTATCGCTTCCGGCGCCGCAGGAAACTGCCGTTGTCGAACATGTCCTCCGCCAGCGGGTCCAGCGTCCAGAAGTTTCCCTTCCCCGGATTCCCTGGCTCACGGGGCACCTTTATGAAGCAGTCGTTCAGGCTGAGATTGTGCCGGATCGAGTTCTGCCAGGCGGGGAACTTGTCTTTGTAGTATGGGAAGCTATAATTAAATTAGATAGTAAATTTAGAACCCTTACTTTAATTTGTATTAGCTTTTTTACCTGCTCAACAATATTAACTCAAATAGAACTAAACCTTACCTAGGTATACAAATAATTGAGTACCTGTACTCACCTAGGTATTTATTTTTAGCAATATAACTCTAATTTAAAATAGCTAACTGACTTTAAATAAAACGCAGCACTTAATAACACCGTACTATTGTTGGATTCCACGAAACTACAATAATAAGATCACTTTTTAATATTTATTTCCAAACAACTATACATTTACATCTACTACAAAAATTTATTTATGAAACAAGTTTAGAGCTCCCCAAAATGCTTTTTTCTAAAAAAACGCATATACATCATATCACAAATATAGTCTTTGTTTCTACATTCGGAATTTTTGGCGCAAATCAGTCACATAGTTGTGTCATAAATACATTTGCGAGTGATACGATAAACTTTTTCATGCCGCGTGGTTTAAAAATTTACTTGTACTAAATTAAAACATTTTAATTTATATGAAATGAAAAGATTTTGTGTGATTAAGACGACTAAAAACTGGTAAATAGTCTTGGTTTAAGTTTAAATGATTACATTGAACAAAACGGAAAAAAATTATAAAAATACCTTATAAAAACCTTTTACCTTTACCTAGGTACCCGGGAAATTTAAGTTCCTTTACCTTACCTAGGTATTTATCTTTGGCAATACATTTTACCAGTAAAAAAAAACAGTACCTTTCCCAACACTGAATTTAATACGGCAATTGTACCTGGAGCAAAAAAATAGTTTTAAAGGTACAAAACTTAAAGGATTTTTACATGGGTATCTTTTATCTTTCAAATATGGTTATTGCTTATAAATTCAAAGTTTATGGCATTCTCATCAATACAAAAAATCAAACTGGTATGGTAAAAAAGTAATCGTAGAGGTAAAACAATTAAAGATATTTACTTGGTTATCGTGGCTTTTCAAGAAGGCTTTTTTGACCTCTCAAGTTGGCTTTAAACCATACAATTACATTTTGTTTTATATTTGTGTGAGTAAATTGTATGGGGGGGGTTAAAAGTGTGTGTGCGCAGACCGCTGTTCACAGTATACTATGAAAACACCAAAGTTTTTGAGGTCCACTCACCGCGACATGATGAAGTCACAGATTCCGCTGAGCGTAAGCTTCTTGTGCGGCGACTGAAGAATGGCCATGGTGATGAGGGCGATGTAGGAGTAGGGTGGCTTCACCAATGGACCGCCGGTGGAACCGTCCCCAACGCCGCCGGAACTACTTCCGCCGATGGCCGACGGCTCAATGTCGCTGTCATCGCAGCCCATGGACATGGCATCTGCGGCGGCGGCGCGCGAGGAGGCACTGCATCCGATTCCGTTGCCGCCGGAGGAGCCGCCTCTGGAGCTTTTGATGAGCGGCGGCGAGAGGGAGACACTGTCGTGCAGAGTGTGCATGGGATCCGTGCTGGTGTGCATTCTTGCGGGTGTTCACTGTAGTCTATTGGAGTTGAAATTCTCTTTTAACTTAATTTAGAGGACGCAACACTGTGTTATTTGACTATTTTGCTCAGGAACTGTGTTCGTTTTGGCGCTTCACTAGCTTCACTTGGCATTTGCTTTTGCATTTAAATATACGTATGTAAATTTTGATTTCTATCTTTGGTTTTTTCTACCGTTATCCTTCACCGTTAACCGTTAACTACTGTCACTGGCGTTTCCGTTTCCGTTTTGGCTCTTGGGCAAACTGTACATATGGCCAGCAGAGGAATGGAATGTGAAAAGTGGCAACTTGACTGAGCGCGTCCGTCGTCGTGTCCGTTGAGGGCGGAATCCGCTGGCCAAATGTTAACTGAATCGCAACGAAAACGAAAATCTTCTCGCCCAAAATGTTTTTCTACATAACTCAAACATTTATTTATGAAAAACCGCTGCCATTGCCGCTGCCGCTGACGTTTCCCTGAGCTTTTGTGTCGCCGTTGCTGTGTTTTCGTATCTCGAATAACTGTGATTCTACTGCCGACGTCGGCGTCGAAGCCGACGCAGCATCCTGGCAGCGGAAGAGAGGGATAGAGAGAGATAGAGCCAAGCTAACCCTCTCTCTCTAACGGGGGATGAGACGATATCCTGCGAACCAATCTATGGCGCCCTCGCTCTTGCCATCCCACTCTCTCTCACTCTCGTGAGAGTGTGTGTGTGAGTGGGCACAAAATGGTGGAGTGTGCTGCCCGTAAATGTGATATTTGTGTTTTCCTCTCTCCAAACGGCGGCAAATTGGCAGCGACTGCAGAAGCCAACATCCACGGGGGTGGGGGGGATAAACATTTTGCGCAAATTTAGATACCTTTTGCCGCTTTGACGTCGTGGCTCTTAATAATGTTTCATTATGTCAGCCACATGGAGGCGGGCGTCCTCCTCCTTCTCTTTCTCTCTTCTCCCTCTCCCTTTCATTCCCTCCGCTCCTCTGCCCCAAATGTTATGCTTCAAATGTTGGCATTTTTATGTGCGAATGTTTTTCTAACCGTATGTCGACGTTTCTTGGTTTCTCTCGGTTTCGCATTCCCATTCCCGCTCTCCATCCCTATACACAGAAAGAAAAATGTATGGGTCTTAATGAGCCATTTAATTATTGAGGAGTTCTTTGAGGTTTGAGTTTGACTAGTTTTATTGACATTTTGTGAATTAAATACATTTTTCATATAGGCAATATAAAAAAGTTTAGTATTTTAATTAATTTTGCATTATTAACATTACACCCAGAAAAATTATGGACAACATTTTAGGTCATGCATAGCCTAAAACATTTTAAATGGACTAAAAGTTCCTTTTAGGTCGGTACTGCCTAAAAATTAAATTTTGGTATATTGCCCTACTATTTAGGTCCCGTATAGCCTAATATTTTAGGTCAGCGTGGGCCTTAAAAATAATGCCACCTAAATAAATTTGCACGGAACTCGATACCGTTTTGGCGACGCTATAATTCCCAACCAGTTATAGCCGGCTTGCAGAACCCACCGATCGTTGAATAAACAGCGATTTCACTGCGAACTGTGAAGCCTCCTCGCTCCTTTTTGTGTGTTGGCATAATGACGACTTCTAAGACATGCCCGACAGACCCCGAACTATAAACTTTTCTGTATTTACTTTATAATATTATAAAATTTTGGATAGGGGTTTTCTCATATTTTTAGGCAGCCAATTACCTAAAATCTAGGCCAAAAATTACCCCCATTTTAGGCCTTTAATGGCCTAACATTTTAGGTCACGGTATCCTAAATTTTAGGCCATTCAAGGACTTAGCTCCAGTTTTAGGCCAATTTTACCTAAATTCTAGGCCATTTTTTGACATTTTAGGTCATTTTTTTTCCTGGGTGTATGTTGATTTAACTAAAAAAAAAACGTGTTCTTTTTGCAGCATCGTTGTTTGTTTTCTTATTTATTTATTAACGTTGTGAAATGAAATTAATGTGGTCAAAAATTATTAATGGTTTTTTTAGGGAGTGAATTAATAAAATATAATTGTCAGCCAACCAATGGGATAAAAAAATATTTAATGCTAACCACTAACAAAAAAACATGTATTGAGTTTTTCTATGTGCCCATTTTTTTTTTTGGGGTGTGTAAGTGAGAGGGAATTAAATGCGCCATTTTTGCCAACATCCTAAACACAATGGGGGATACAAGAGTAAGAGAGAGAGAGGGTGATGAAGGGGGCTCGAGGGGGAGCAGACTGTACATGTGTTTGCTGCATTTGTACTTGTATCCAAGTGAGTTTTGTATTATTTCTCTTTTTCATTTTCGCTGTTTTTGTTCTCCAGTTGTTAGACATTGTTGTTGTTTCTGCTGTTGTTGTTCGGCATTCAGTGTTTGGAGCCTTCCCTTTTCAAATTAAACATTCAGTAGTCACTTTTATTTGTTGTACTTTGTTCAAATTAGTTTTCCAGTTTTGCGGAAGTTACTCACACACACCCACCCCCACACACCCACACAGCGACATGGAAACAGACACAAGCACAATAATGGCCGCCATTTTCGCTTTCAGGACAATATTGATATCGCTTCTTCTACTCTTGGCATCGTTTTCATTATTCTATTTCAGCTTTGCCACCCCAAATCTCCCATTTTCCATTTCCCTCGCCCCCTTTTCCGCACTGTTACACTTACGAATCAATGATTTTTTGGCCAGATTTTTAGGGGCGTGGCATCGCCAATCGGTATGTATCTTTATCCCCGCTTAGTAGTGTTGGTATTATCAAAGGGGGCGGATAAATAGAAGGGGGTACATACATATATGGGGGACTTTTCGGAACTGTCTGTTGAGCAATTTAGATGCCGAAAATTTATTGCGGCTTTCCTTTGTCTTTTTTATGAGCAAACAGAAGATTTTATGGCTGCCAACCGAAATGGTTCGGACAAAAATGTAATCAACTTTTCCGGGGCACACATGAACTCTGCAAACATCTGAGAACATTATTAACAGGTAAGTCCGTTGTATGGATCTAACGAAATGTTACCAAGCCTCAATCAAATCAAGTGAGAAACCTAAACGTATGTTTATAAACATCTTTACAAGTTACATCGGAATTTCACCCAAAAGAGAATTCTGCTTCACCACTGAATATGTCTCTTTAATACCTTTTAAAATTGTTTTAAAACAAAATAAAAGTAGAGAAAATGAATAATTTGTTTAGTTATGAACGATTTCTTTTATTCACTTGATCAGGACTTAAGTACACCTTTAACAATTAATAAAGGTAATATAATATAGGTCATAAGTAGATTTGATTCCATCCTTTTAAATTATATAAGTTTTTTTAACTGATAGTTAACTTTAAATTATTTATATTTTCCTTAATTCAGACTTCAGTCACCACAAATAATCAATAACGCTATTGGTAGAATGTTTCAAATCTTTAGAAATATTATCGGTTCTTATCGTTATCCTTAATCCCTCCCCTCAGCAGTTCCTTCTTATATATCAAAAATATTTGCTCTTTCAATCCACTTTTCATTACTCATCCGTGTGTTCAATAGTTTCCATGGCAATTAAACGATTCCGACTAGTTGCACCCCCCAACCCGCCCACCACTATCCTGCGCCAATCCGTGGCCAAAGCCGTATCCATGTCCCCTGACAGACTACGGTTAATCACCGCTTAAGCACAGCATGAGTCCGGGCGAAGGACGAAGGACCCTGGCGGCCAGTTGAGCGTAAGGAAGCGGTGCACTGAAGCTTTCGCAGGGGAACAATTAACTTATGGCCAAACAATAACGCCCAGGAATGCACGCTGACAGGAACCAGCCACCAGGAGCACATCCTGCTCAGCTCCAGCTTCAGGTTTTCGTACATCCATACGCACACATCCTTCGTCCTCATCCCGGGTTGCAGCAACAGCGGCATGATCCAGCAATAATCCCTCTTTTGTCAGCAAATTTATTGCACACAAACAAACGACCAAAGGATATGCCGAGCGGATAAATCGGAGTGCTCAAACGGGAAGGGGGATTCGGATTCGGGATTGGGATTGGTCTTTGGCTTGGATGAGCGCAGACTTTTGACAATACAAATTTTTATTGCGAAATCTGCAAAAGGCAAATAAAAGATTTGACACTTGAATTGCTTTGACTGCAAGGATTCGGCGGCAAGGACAATCACTTCTTTTGGCACAAACAAAAGCGACAGTTGCCAGCCCCAAACGATGTCCCGTCTTCTACGCTCTACACTCGGAAAAACAGTTTAAGTCAATGACGAATAAACTAGCTAGGTACCTTAGTCTAATACATATATATACTGAGATATTATTTTTTATTTTTCTATAGTTGGGCATTCTTTCTTTTCATTTTATTGAGAGCTAAAAAATATTGTAATAAATTGGTAGTAAAAAATATAATATTTGTGAGGGTAAACACGTAATTAAATGTAGTGTATTTAAGCGAAAAGTGCCGCTTCCTGTAAGGGGATATTACTAATTCTTCTTTTAGAGCAACGCTTACATGGCTAACTTTCCCCAAGTGTACATCATAGAATGGGGATCCCCCACTAATTTGCGCTTGAGCTGCCGCATCCTGTCGCATCCTGCATCGATGCTCGGGCATCTGGCTGGCTGAGGCACCTGCTGGATGGCAAAGGCAAACACTTGAGGCCCCATAAGAAGTTCTTCGAGATGTCGAGGGATGGCAGGTATAATAGCTTCACTTCTTATGTCATTATTAAATCTTTGAAGTATCTGAAGCGCAGAAAACGAGGCGCAAGGCTCTGGTCATGAGAGATACACATACAGGCACTTGAATACTTGAGTGACGCTCAATTTGATGGACAAGGACGTCGGGAATCAGCCAGCAAACCACCCCAGGATTGCCGGGACAATGGGAAAAATCACAGCAGGCAGCGAACGAATTGCACAACTGCAGCCGCAAATTTTGTTTCAGGATCTCCAACCTGCCAACAAGTGGCAAGCACAACAATGGATTCGATTTAACCAACCTCCCGCCCCTCCGACTCTCAGTCCTCTGGACGAGCCGGAATATTTCACGCTCGATTTATCCCGGTTGATTTTTTCCAGAGGGTTGGGACCGAACAGCAAGTGCCACACACCAATGTTTCGTGGCTCATTTCATTCAGTTTTGTTCATTTGATGTGGATGTGGCTGCGGATGATGATGATGATGGTGGTGGTGATGCCATTGCCTAAGCCTCTTGTTTGGCGGCAATAAAAATCGAGAACCGTGTGCCTAAGCCTCCTCAGGAACCCATCCCCCTCTTCCCTGCACACAGGATGTCAATTTCTCAATTCATAAATAAAACGCAAAGCCCTTTCAATGTGTCAGCACAAGTGTGGAAATTACTGGGCGGGTGGAAATGTGGAATTGTGGAAAAAGTGGAAAAGTGGGCATCGCTGTTATTGTTGTTTATTTGCTGATGGATCTGCCTGAGCCACCT